ATTGAGCAAAAAAATTAGTCTCGAAAGTGCAACAAAATGTAATTATTTAAGGTTTTGAGAGTTTTAAATATTAAGCGGTATTTTTAATGTCACGAACAGCAGAGGAGCACGACTTTAGCTCGAAAATCAAATAGAATAATTTCGACAAGATCGATCGACAATCCATGGAATTTTGACAACCACTTTCTCGTAAAAGATAGAAAATGTATCATGTTTCATCTCCTTTTACGTAGCCATCGCGCTACTTGTACGTCGATTAAAAGATGATCGTTGCGAATTTCATGTCTCCTTTATACAGCTTGACGTTTCAGATCTTGTCATTGACAATTCGATCGATCACGTAGCAGCGGATTCTAAGACCCTTCTTCGGCATTCGTTATTCAATCCTACCGCGAGATGAGTAAAGGACTGATGTTAATTAGGAACGAACGCTTCGATTCCCTCGACGTGCGAGTATCGTTTCGAACGAGGTATTCCCCAGTTGCATTCGGCTTGTTTAGCTTCTAGGCTTTCAGGCCGGGTCCTCAGAGGCTCTCTAGACGTCTAATTTTTTAACGAGGGATCGTGCCGACCAAATGCACGTTGCAAACGTAACGCTAACCAAATCGTTTGGAAATTTAGTTTACGTCACTCGTAAAGGCAATTAAACCTAACAACATGTGAATCTAGGACAGGCAATTTAGATTACAGCGAGAATTGAGAGTCAGTAAAAAGATCGAATGCATCTTGACGCTTGTTAACAGCGGTGGACAATCTGGAAACAGGATCAGACTGTGGTACAACAAGCTTGGTGATAATGTAAATCTAAAAAGGGGAAACTCGCCGATGTACCTAAAAGGAGCATTTATAAATATGCAATAAAGGAGCATAATCTGAATTACACGTTATTCGGAAACAAGCGACTCAAAGGTTCGTCTATACAGACGATTCAAGAAGACCCTTTGATTGCGCCAAAATGAATTTTGTATCTACTTTAACGGACGCCTCTTTCAACTTTTATGAAAGTTGTCAAACGATATGAAAATCTTTGTCAAAATTGTTTGACACATTTTTTGGTTTTTTTTTTACGACGCGCTTTTTACAAGACATTTTTCCCTTTTTTTTCATACAGTTTAAAAACTCTTTTGAGCTTCCAATTTTTTTTTTTTTTTTTTTTTTTTTTTTTTATTTTTTTAATTTTTTTTTTTTTTTTTGATACGACTTTGAGACTTCTTCCAGCATTTCGTTCGTTTTAAAGGCCATTTTTTAATAGTCTTGTCTTTTGTCACGTTTGGTCTAGTAGTTTAGCTTCGGCGAAGACTATTCATAGAGCATAAGCTGCGTCACTCCTGTTAATGGCTACTAAAATATTCTGCGTCTGTGATATATCGCAGCTTGGATGTTTACCCCAGGATTAATAGAATCGGGCGAGCTAACTATGTTCTTTTTTCTTCTCTTTTATTCAGAAACTGCAGGCGGATTTTAACGATCGTGTTTATAGTGACAAACGACGTGCAGATTTTCGAGGAGCTCGCTTCTAACCGTAAACACGGATAGCGTAGCAGCCAGCAACTTTCAACGAAACGCAGATAGCAAAATCGATTATCTCTGACCCCGTCGAACTTGCGATTTCTTTTTTCGAAATTGCTTTTGCAAACAATTCGAACCGCGTTAAGATCGCGGCGTGAACTTTGAAACTGATCTGAACGGGACTCTTCGAAGAGAAATTCAAAAGAGGCAATAAATTCAATTCGACGAAAACGTGCAACCTCTGTTCCTCTCGTTTTTCTCGCTAAACTCCCATTCGGAGGGAGGTTTTTTTCAACGCAATGCAATTTTTAAAAAATTCCAATTCTCGCGCGATTTGGGAAAAGAAAGAAGAAGAGAAATAAATGGCTTTCGTTCTCCAACTTTATTTACGCTCTCGCTGTCACAGACTTTTACAATCGTTAGGAACGATGCATCTAGGGGGAGGAAAAAAAAAAAAAGAATTTTCTCGACGCGCTTCGTTTTTCAACGAACCGTCAGCGTTGCGTGTTCATTATCTCCGTTGATCGTAAAACACCGATGTACAAACCATCGTGTTTATCAGAGAGTAATATCGAAAATGAGATATATAATTCACGACCGTCAGGTGAGACACTCGCCAGGGAATATAATAACCGTGCGGCTAGTAATTAACAATTCTCAAACAATAGTTGAAACTTTTATGTTTTGAAAACAGTCTGTCAGCTCTTCCAAAACATCATGTTCAATTTCCTGCCACCTCTCAATTCAGAGAAATACCAACCGCTCGATGTCCAAACAGTCGAATCAAAACGAAGCTTTAATTTGCATTTCAAACATGGACTTTGGATTAACCTCAGACGAAACGCCTCGAGAAAAAGAAGAAAAGGAAAGAAAAGAAAAAAAAAACGAAAAAAAAGGGAGGAGACGCATCTTCGAGTTTCGAATAAATTTTTCAAAAGTCCCATCTTGAAAATGAAATGCCAGGAAGAAACGGGTCGAGTCTCCGAGGATATGCGAAGCTTAGGCTCACGTTCGATCGCGAAGGCCTGAGGACTTCCGGGAACTCGAAACTGTCAGTTTTTCTGAACTGAAACTCCCAGAAAAATGAAACGGTACGGCATTACGTACGACAACGTGAATTTGAAAGGTTCGAACGTTCCTCGATCGTTTTCTTTTTTTTTTTTTTTCTTCTTTCGGTGCCTCGTGTTTACAAAAGCGTGACCCGGAACACCGGGATCAATGATCCAGGAGACTTCCTCCACTTGTCGCGGTCCCATTGTCGGGAGTTAGATGGACGATGATGGACAATGATTAGCCCGCGAGTTGTTTGAATCATTATCAATGGTCAGCCATCGTTTATTGTTGTCCCACTTCCGCGCGCGCCAGCCAGATAGTGTTTAAAGTTCATTACGCGATGCTTTAAATGACAGATTTCAAGATGACTGCCTTCAGTATTCTAATAAAGGGCTTCTCGAAGTAACTAAATTTTAACAAAACTAGAAAATTAATAGGTATTTCTGAAAACTAAAAAAATCATGAATATTTAACTTTGTCTATATAATAAAATCACGTTCGTACGTATACCAAAGAATTGTTTTCGAATAAATTTATGATTTATTATCGGCAAATGTTTTAATTTGTATTTTTCTATACTCAGGGTCGTAGAAATTTTAACAAAACTAGAAAATTAATAGGTATTTCTGAAAACTAAAAAATTATGAATATTTAGCTTTGTTTGCATGGTAAAATTACGTTTGTACGTATACCAAAGAATTGTTTTCGAATAAATTTATGATTTATTATCGGCAAATGTTTTAATTTGTATTCTTCTATAACCAAAGTCACAGAAATTTTAACAAAACTAGAAAATTAATAGCTATTTCTGAAAACTAAAAAATTATGAATATTTAGCTTTGTCTGCATGGTGAAATTACGTTCGTACGTATACCAAAGAATTGTTTTCGAATAAATTTATGATTTATTATCGGCAAATGTTTTAATTTGTATTCTTCTATAACCAAAGTCACAGAAATTTTAACAAAACTAGAAAATTAATAGCTATTTCTGAAAACTAAAAAATTATGAATATTTAGCTTTGTCTGCATGGTGAAATTACGTTCGTACGTATACCAAAGAATTGTTTTCTGAATAAATTTATGATTTATTATAGGCAAATGTTTTAATTTGTATTTTTCTATACTCAGTGTCGCAGAAATTTTAGCCAAAACTAAAAGATTAGTGAATATTTCTCAAAGTTAAGAATATTTAACTTTGTCTTTAATAAATGGTGAAATTACGTATGTATTCGTATATTACGTGAATTCGTACGTATACAAAACGAAGAATTGTCTTCGGATAAATTTTCTTTGCGATTTATTACCAGCAAATGTTTCAATTATTGATGTACTCCTAGTTTATGTACCTCTATACCCAGGATCGTGAAAATATTTGCTCGAGTAAAGGGGAGTTGCCAAGTGGAAAAGTTCGAGAAGCCCTGTTCTGACACGTACCTCTTTAATGGCTGTATTTTAATCGCAGGAAGCGGCGTATCATCCGTCTGCATCGTTTCGAGGAATGGCAATAAAAATTGAACAAACAGCGGAGCGTGGAATAGCAAAAAAAGAAAAAAAAAAAGTATCTCAAAGTAAACATCGGAATAAAAAAAAAAAAAGAAATATTCGTATCAAATGAATATCGATGCGCTACCGTGCGGCGCGGTAATTTCAAATTAACCAGAGCTTCATTTTCCTCGGAGGTGTGATCGTAGAGAATTAGAAAGGTCAGTTCCGAACTGGTCCGGATAAAATGAATGCCGGTGCAGCGGGGAGCCGTTATTAAGACCCGTCATGATTAGTCGGATCGAGGTTCCCCTACGGTGCCTCTTCCACCGATTTATCGAGCCTCGTGGAACGAGCAAAGTATACTTTATCACGCGTTAGGGGCAGATACGGTGATTACGACTTCGTGAATAATAATATTGCTGTTCGTCCATGCTTCAACGAAGCTTCGTCTCGCTTTGAAAATTCTAACTTTGGGGCTTCTAGAAATAATCGAATGAACGTAAAGAGTTGCGGTTGTTAAAAACAAAACTTGCCTGGACAGGAGGGAGTTGCCGTCCAAGGGTATTAAAAATTCGAGCGGTGGAGGGAACGAGCGGTGTTTCCTCCGTCGTTCGACATTTAAATATTTACGAGAGACCGTGACTGTTTCTCGTGAAAAACGTACGAGGAACGAGAAAGCTCAGGTGTCCAAACAAACGAAGAAATAAAGAGCACTTTGGAGCCATCGCGTGGCTCATGAGGCCACTTGACGCCATATTGGACGCCATAATGGAAGTTACCTTGGAAGAATTTCAATCTTGAATTAACCGTGGACTCGTTACATTAGAGAATGAATCATTTATCACGTCCTTGCTCCGCCAAAGAAATCTTTTATCGCTTTCGATAGCTATTCTCGTCCCTCAGATTTAGACAGATTTCTCTTCCCTCAGATTAGACAGATTTCTCTTCCCCGAATCTGGTAGAATTTTCTAGAAAATTGTCAAATTACCACGAGACACGCCGCGACGTATCATTCTTCGTATTATCCTTCAACTAGAAAGAAGAATGAAATTTACAAAAGAGAAAATAAAAAATAAAAGGATCGTCATCCGATATTTCGTTTCGTTTTATCCGGCAAATTCACTTCAAATTAAATCCGCGTGTATCCAGCTGAGAGGCAGTTCCATTTTCCTCCATTGTTGCGACATTTTCGCGCGAATTGCCGGGGAAAATCCGAGGGAAGACAACGGAAGCGCCCCGTTTAAGGGTGTCTCGAGTGACGGTAGAAATGAATTTTCGATGCGGCTGCAGCCGACGCGGGATAATTGCCGCGGCGATAAGCGGATGCGCATTGCCGTGTATTTTTCCACGCGACGAGCACACACGCGAGAAGCTTCGCCGCTTCTCCAACAATGTATCAGCCCCGAGAATTATAAGTGGCGGTGAATAACGGCTGAACCGCGTGCACACGATTTAGCCTCGCAATCCAGCTCCAACTTTCGTTTTAAACGGCTATAATTCCGGTAATGAAGACACATCGTCTCGAATAGTTAATCGATAACGATGGCTCGCAAATGCTAGAAAACGTTCCCCTCGACGTTCGCCTCACTCATGTTTGTCTAATATCTACCCCGAGTTACACACTTTTATATTTATTCACATTTTTCTATTTATTCTAATTTGTGTGTGTGTTTTTAAATAATTTCAAAGAAGAAATTTTATTATAATATTTATTATAATTGTACACTTTTTTCTATTTATTTTATTTTTGTGCTTTTTTTAAATATATTTTAAAGAAGAAGTTTTATTATAATATTTATCATAACTGCACACTTTTTTCTATTTATTCTATTTTGTATGTGTGTGTTTTTTTAAATATATTTCAAAGAAGAAATTTTATTGTGATATTCATTGTAATTACACGCCTTTTTTTACATTTATTACAATTACATACTTTTATATTTATTCTATTACACACATTTTTCTATTTATTCTAATTTATGTGTGTGTTTTTAAATAATTTCAAAGAAGAAATTTTATTATAATATTGATTGTAATTGCACACTTTTTTCTATTTATTTTATTTTGTGTATGTGTGTTTTTTTAAACATATTACAAAGAAGAAATTTTATTATAATATTTATTACAACTGCACACTTTTTTCTATTTATTCTATTTTGTGTGTGTGTGTTTTTTTAAATATATTTCAAAGAAGAAATTTTATTGTGATATTCATTGTAATTACACGTCTTTTTTACATTTATTACAATTACACACTTTTTTTTATTTATTCTATTTTGTGCGCGTTTTAAATATATTTCAAAGAAGAAATTTTAGAAAAAGTTGCATTCGATTTTGCTCACTCTTTTACCCTTGCTGATATTGTTCAATGTTCTCCACGATATAATTGTATTTTTTCTTTTCATTTGTTCTATTTTCTATTTATTTTTTTAAAATATCTTCCTAAATGGTTTCAAAGAAGAAATTTTAGAAAATGTCCCGTTCGATTTTGCTCACTCTTCTTTACTGATATTTATTTAATATTCTCCACAAATGTAATTACATTTCCAATTTTTTAAAAATATTTTTCCAATTAGCTTCAGAGAAAGCATAGTTCACGTGTTGTTTCTTTTTTTTTTTTTTAGTGTACATTATCCCGAAGTAAGGTAATTTTTAATTTTCTATCATTCGATTCCATAGAGAACCTCTATCTCTAATCTAAAATTCAGCCCAGAAAAAAATATAACGAAGCCTAGCTCACAATGGCCCGTGAAAAAGAAAGTACTGCCATAAGATACGCTTGATTGTACCAACAGAATCAAACTAATCGAAGAAGCAACGATAGCGTCCATTTGTGGTAATTGTTTGTTCGACACGGTATTAAAGAGTACCTAAAATCATCTCGGGCCGCTAATACACGTAGTTCGCGGTATATAACCGGCTGGAACGAGGTCTATATCATTGAAACGATTACAGGTCCCCTACGTTCAACCGGACATTTGGTAAATTGATTTGATCTGAACGTCCCTACTTCCCAATAAAACAAACGAGAGACGATATAGGGCCCGGTTGCGTCGTCACATGTGTACACCCCTGTGTTCAAAAAATCCTAGAACGACCGACTGCCGTCCGTTTTCAACCGCGAAGCTTTGAGAAAAGCCTCTCTCGAACGAACCTCGAGCTACGCCAGCCTTTCAATAGAAATGTTTTTTAGAGTTTTGTAGAAGCACAACTGTTGGGAGAACATCTTTTTTTAGAGAAAAAACGACTATTATTTCAAACGCGAAGAAAACTGTACAGAGAGATGTTACTCCATATCCGATATATTTGACGTTCACCTTTGAAGAAAGATATTTTAAAATTAAATATACATACAATTTTCTATCTGTTCTTCGTGCACTTGATACTCTAACTTTGCTTCGGAAAATCTCGGAGCTATACCACTAGCGAGGTATCGTTTTCTTTTCTTTTTTTTTCTTTTTTTTTTTTCGCGGAAGAAAAGAACAAACGTCGAATGCCTCGAATCTGAACGCATTCTATAGCCACGATTCGCGATGGCCATCACTGTCGCCGAGATATTCATCCCGCTTTCACCTACTTTGCGAAATATCGATCAACTATGTACAGCGGATACACGGCTCGGGCCATCATTCCCCTGTTACGTGAAATCAAAACGAAATAGATGAAACATAGTTCTCTGCATCGAGTACGTCCATAGTTCTCAGTGATGACATTTAACGAATATACGCCGACTTTATGTTACAGTGGCTAAAACTCGTTATGTCCGAGTCGTTTCTCTTAAACAGAAATCTCACCGTGATCGCTAGGTGGAAAATGTCTGTGGACAATTTTACTTTTGGTCTGGATCCGTGCAAAAATCATTAGCGGTAAATTGGAATAATTTTCGTGTCTTCTCAAATTTACGAAACGTTCGTTCTAAACGTGTCTATACACGCGGTGAATACTGATCGCTGAAATGCAAATTTATTTCGATGAATAAGTGTTGACTCTTTGCTCTCGAACAAACGTTTCTTGTATCATCTACCAGCAATTTATTTACAAGGTGTCAAACAAAAGAAACAAGTTGAAATAAAATGATACGGAATTGGAAATAATCAATTCAAATGGTATTTGGCCGCGAAATTTTATTGACTATGATATCGTTTAAATTTAAAGCAATCATCGATCCGTGCATCGCGGATTTCCTACAACATACAAGTCTAATATACAAGAGTTAACGATACATGGTTTCAATCTCTGGAAAAATATAATCCTCCATCATTTTTTTTAAACTTTCGTAGAAAGTGTTCAGAAATTTCTTCTTTCGTTCTTCTCACATACGTCGTCGTCTAGTCTGTTCAGGTTACACATTATATACTATTATAGGTCGTATCGTACAACACCAATAATACGTTCGTTATAATTATCAGCCAATTATAGAAAGAAAAAGTCCGAGTTGTTGGCTAGATTTAAGTACGATGTCCTCTCGGAAGAGACAGTCGAGTTAATGCACATAGTTGCAATAGCCAGTGGCAAGAAATTTCGAATGCTTTGGACGCGTGACACTTGCAATTTTCCATGTGCGACGCCGACCAGCGAATCTCTGATAATCGGATAATGGAAGAATAGAAACGAGAGAGAAAGAGAGAGAGAGAGAGAGAGAGAGAGACACTGCGATTGCGGTCGACCGATTAATTTGCCGCCCCATTGCGAGATCCCTGCTGCTCGTTCTGAACGCGACGGAAGCCACGAGGTTCTTTGGACATTAGAGAATCGTTTCATTTCGCTCTGCGGATCGCGTCTCTGGATTTATTCGTGGAAAATTGCCCAGGAGATTCTCTCACAATCAGTGATTAACTCGGTCCAACCTTAGATTTTTCTGCTTCGCACATTTTGTTCGAGTCGAGATTAGTAATAACGCCATCGGAGAGTCAGATTGAGAATACTTTGACGATGAACGCAAAGAACTCTGTATATAATAAATGTAGTATCGTAGGTGTCGTTGTTAAGTTATAACCTGTAGTTGTAATTATTACATTAATTATTAGTATTTTTAAAAAATTTTTTTAGATACTATTTCTTTTAAATACTAATTACTTTTAAATACTACTAAGTATTTTATAATTATATTAATTATTACTCAGTTGCGTTTAATTATAATAGATAGCCCATAATAGGAGTACGTAAAAATAAAGAAAATATGAATGTGGTTTTTTTTTTTTTTTTTTTTTTTTTTTTTTAAAAAAGGAGAGTACGAGCTGAGATCAGAGTCGATTTTAAAGTCATGAGAAAGCCGATTGAGTTGTTAAAAAAAGAGTTTATTTGAGTTGTGACTAAGCGTATACTAATTGTTGATCTGTGTTCACTTGTTTAATTGCCAGCGTTATTGAATAAATATTATTTATATTTAATCTCTACATAAATCTCCGTCCAAAGTGATATTTCGAAAGACTCGAGTGAATTTCGATCGTTTCTTCTCGACGAGAATGTTATAATATTCAACGACAGATTGCATTCCGTTTCGACAGCAAATTACCATTCAATCAATGAAACAATGAAAGGGTCATTCTCCTCCACTGGTGCTGTCACGCCAGTATCAGACTGTAATGACGATTTAAAGATGCCAGACAAAGCAAGAATTATTCCCCCGAGGGGAAAGTACATTTATATTTAATCATTTTTCCACAGTTTACGAGCGAGGGGGATTTACTCGTCGTAGCGAACGTGCGGGATTGTAAAAAACCAACCGACGAGAGTTCCGAACTGATTCGCGACCGACAGCCGTCCAATTTTATATCTCACCAATTCTACCGTGCAACAACATTCGATAATCCATCTCTGGTTCTCTCTTTTTTTTTTTTTTTTGTACTCTGGTGAACAAAAATACGTGTATATATCTCACAAAGGAAAGAGAAAAGAAAGAAAAAAAAAAAAAGAAAAGACACGTTTCCATTTGCCTCGCGAAGAAATAATGAAAGAGAACTCGAGGGAGGGGGAAAGAGAAATAGGAAGAAAGAGAAATAAACGAGCAGTCCATAAAATCGCACGATCTACGGTTGTAGTTCTGATCTGTGTAACCAGGGTTGGTTAATAGGATTGGTTTTGTACGAGAGAATCGAGGTATTAATTTCAATCTTCCGGCGGACCTCCGGGCTCCAGGTAAATCCAATCTGGATCCGGGGTAAAAGGGAGAAATGGCGAGGGCGCTACGTGACAGGAAACGCTCAGAAGTCTGGTGGATGCTTCACCGTAATTTATCATGACCTTTCGTACAAAAGAGATCGCCGACGTTGCGTTATGTACTGTACTTACTCCCCGGGCAGAACGTTGCCGGCATACCACATTCCAGAATAATATCTCCGCGTTCTAAAGTCGTTCTTATTAAAAAAGAGAGAGAGAGAAAGGAGATTTCCTCTTGCCTCGTTGGAATTGAACATCGAGATCGGAGAAAGTACATAACGAAACAAAGTCACAAATATCGAACGGAGAAAAGAACGACGATTTTATATTATATTACGGGCACTTCGATCCCTTAAATCCGCACGAAATTACATGATCTATTGTAATAACCTCGACTGTGAAAATCATTTTTATTCAACTTTCGAATTTCAAGGGAAAACGCGTGCCGAAGACGCTGGGCCATTATCGGCGGCCATTGTACTCGCAAGTACATCATCGAATGACGAATGGCTCACGATATCTGAGAAAATTGAACGGCAACGCTATAAATAAACGCCAAGGGACTGTTAAGATATCCCAATCTGAAACACCGCTGCCGGAGATTACGAAACCGGCAGAATTTTTCCCTCGCGTTTCAACGAACAACATCCAACAGTCAAAGCTGCAAACAGGCGGTCACGACTTTCTTTTAACGCTTCGTAAATTCTCCCGATCCTATTAAAATTACTTTTTCCCTCACGGACGATTTACGCCGAACCTTTATTTTATCTCTCGCGAGATCGTAATAACGGAGAGATAAATTTTTAGATCCCCCCCCCCGTGTAAAGTCGTAGATCCCGCGTTAAAAGTTTTTGTTGCTTGAACCAAGTTGGAACGTAAAACGTGTAGGAATATATAGGCGTTCGACTATAAAAAATTTTACATCCTGCAGTTCACCTTCCGCCGGTTGGTGGCGGCAAAGTGATATTTAGAAAAAAAAGACGTAGAACTTACGGACGTGGCGCATAATCGTTCTCAGCCATTGAACAGTCTCGTTTGTTTCCGACGATCTCGACGGACGTGCGAGATAAAAGTTCATGCGACTGATGACTTGTTCCCTCGCGGTGGGAAGTAGCCACGGAGGCACGATGAAAAATCTTATTGACTCGTTTTTATAATCGATGATATTCTGCGCGAGGCGCGCTGATTAGCTTCAGGGCGGGAGAGGGGGGGAAGGAGCGCGATATATTTGTGCAGAAGAGGCCTGAACCTTGTAGTAAGGTCACGTCGATAACGCGATAATCGCTGACTTTGCTGACCCCCGATCTTGAAACGCTTATTTTTAGTCGATTGGCTCTCGACGCGGAATTAGGCATAACACGCTGCGTACACAAGTTACCACGAACTTCTCGTTTCTCTATTTTTTTTCTTTCCCCCTTTCTATTTCTACTACTACGAATCACGTTACTGTCACGGTTTCTAGTATTTTTTTTTTTTTCTCTCTTTTCTCTCAATTTCGAATCTTTTCCCAAGTCCAAGCACGTAACTACAAAATGGAAGGTACAAAACGAAGGGAACGAGAGCGCAAAATGGATATTTAAAGTGCCTTTTAACATCCAACGGCTGAAAGATGTAATACTCCTTGCGAGTTTTTCACTTTTTCGTTTTTAACAGTCGTTTAAGCAAACGAAGAGGAATTGTCGTTCAAATAGAAAGGCGAAAAATTGCTCGACAAAGGAGGCAAGAGTTATTAAAAGTTCTCCGGCAGACGGAAGCCACCGTAAACTTTCTACGTGTGCACTTTCCACGACGTTATCTATTCGTGCCCTCTGCAACGTAGAATCTACATTATATTATCCGCTGAAAATCTACGGAGTGGATAAAAACGGGATAGAGAGAAGCTTCTAGAACGCGAGACTTTTCATAAATATTCCCCCGTGCATATTTCTCATATCGTTTCCTTAGCTATCTTTCGCATGCATCGCTGCGCTTTAACAAACCACCTCCTCGTCGAACGAAAAGTTCGTTATTTCAACAGTATACAAAGCGACCGCCTTTTCTAACAGCGAGGCGATTCTACTTGCACCTACAAATTCGCGAGAGAAGATTCGCGCTTCGAAACATTAGAAAATAATAAAATATACTTTGGGAAACTTTGGAAATTAATAAAAATAATTGTCAGGCCGGCCAAAATGTAACTGTGTTTCTTTCCTATTCGTATAAACGAATTTTTCATGATAAATTCTTTCGTCAAAAGCTTCGCAATATATTGTCCACTTTGTTCGATTGTCTTTCATGATATTTCGGCCATAAACTTCCGTGAATCCGCGTTCAAAAAAGTTCGTACATTTTTTAAGAGCGATTTGATATTCTCATCGGCATTGAAATTTAGCAAATTCGGTTCTGAAACTGCCTTTTCGAAAATTAAACATGTTCCCTTTTGATTTTCCATTCGGAAATCGACGTTAAACAAAAACAACTGTCAACGAGAGATCATGCGTTTTCTTTTTCTGAAAAAAGGTTGAACAATCGGATGTCAGATTGCACGATGGATTTAACGATTTAAAATGTAGTTGGTTACATTGCAAAATACACGTCTATTAAAAAAAAAAGACGCAATTACTTCTCGATCAACTCGGTTAAGAGTGAATTTTGCATTGAAACGAATGCTTTGATTCTTACTGAAATTTCGACTGTGAAATTCAGCATTTTTTTTTTTTATCATCTATCCCCATTCAGATCGCAAGGATCGTTCTCCAAATCGTGTCACCGTTTCATCAACTTTATCACGCGAACACTCTGTGTCAGCAACACTGTCCTTCCCCAATCTATGATTCAAACTATCGAGGTACCCCGAGTGAATTCGAAATTTCACTGGTGTTAGCCGAGAGAACCGAGATGTCGAACCAGATACTGAATTTCGTGAACGTGACCATCTCTGGACCGAAGGATTTCCGCCCCCTCCCCCTCTCGTTTATCAGCCAACCATCAGTTCATCAGGATCGGTTCGAGGCGAGTCTCGATTTCGCGTCACGTGCCGAAATCCTTCAGAAACGCAGAAGTTTCATTGCGTCCCTCGTGCCCGCGTCAGGAAGAAACAAAACGGCCCTCAAGGGAGTCCGCGCATCGTACAATTCGAGCCGATTAAATGCGAAAGAATTAATTTCGACCATCCTACGCCAGCCATCTTTTTCCACTGTCTTCGATGTCATGGTATCGTATAGGGTGGCCACTGAAAAACTGAAGCTTTTGAAAAAGTCACAACTCATTTATTTTCAATCGTTTTTATTTTCTTTTTCTGTAGATTATAGAAAAAGACTATTAATTGTATTTTCGAATAAAATAATGAAAAAGTTTAAAAAAAAAGACACGTGTTTGTCTTAAAAATTACTTTTGTTTTCAGTCTTACAGCGAGCACCCTATAGTTGCGACAAAAAGTATACTTTCGTCCTGATTAGGAACGTGGTTATTTAAAACAGAGAATAAAACGAAACTTACGAAGCGATACGATAGAGTATCGTCGATCACGATGCGATTATAGCATCGTTGTTATGCTATTAGCCGGATGATTGGTATGATTCGGTGATTATGCTGTTACACGTTATTATGCACCCGGTTGGGCCGTGTTTATGCGACGTCGAAACAAATCTCGATGTGGCCAACTATTGACCTCTTAATGACGAATTCAAGCAATAACGTTTCAAGGACCGGCCCCGACTTATTCAATGCACTTATTCCCTCCCTTGCTGATACTCCATTGAGCGTCGTACAAGTCGTTACCAAAATTGGACTGACAACGTCCAGCGATGAAATAAGTTGACGGGAGGGAGAGCAATTAAAATTAAAGTCGACAATGGGAGCAGATTCATCGACGAGGAGGATCCATTGTTAGTCTGATAGATAATACTTTCTGATCGAGCCTGCTCGTTTCCTCATAAAGAACGAGAAATCGAAAACATATATTTTTAACAAAAAAATATATTCATAAAAGATATATATAAATATATTCACATATCTATAAAAGAATATATATAAATATTCAAATACTTATATGTATATACATAAATATATTCATACTAAAATATATTAAATCAAAAAAATATATATTTTAATATATCTTTACATTAAATATATATTTTTCGTAAAAAATATATATGTAAATATTCATATATTTATATATATGTATATACATACATATAAATTTATATTTATATCTATATACATAAATATATTCATAATAAAATATATTAAATCAAAAAAATATATATTTTAATATATTTTTATATTAAATATACATTTTCCGTAAAAAATATATGTATAAATATTCATATATTTATATATATATATGTATATACATACATATAAATTTATATTTATATGTATATACATAAATATATTGATAATAAAATATATTAAATCAAAAAAAAAAAAAATATTTTAACATATCCTTATATTAAATATATATTTTCCGTTTCTGTTGTTGCAGCGAAATCAGGATGCACAGCCGGCTGCCATGGAAGTGAGTACAAAATTTTCACTACGTATCTCTCTGCTTTCAATTTCTCAAGGTAATTAACTTGGAAAGACGCGACTTAACGTTCCTTTGTGCTTTATCGAGCAGTGCACCCGAACAAGGCATATCAGGAAGGGCAGACGTACATATACAACCTGGAAGGTACGTCGGTGACGTCTGTCACTGACGCGCAAGGAGATGCGACTCTTAAACTGTCAGCCACCGTAGAATTGTCCGTGAAACCGGATTGCATCCATCAACTGCGGTTGAAGAACGTCCGGATCAACGGGGCGGTAATACTTTAAGCTTTTTGCATTCTAATCTGACGTGAATCTTTTCATATAATCGCGTGATGAACTTCAGAGTCGACAAGGTTTTATATATATATATATATTATATTAACAAAGTTTATATATATATATATATATATGTAATATAAAATCAAAGTAATAAAATAAAAACAAATTTATTTTTTATAAACATACGAATTAAATGAAATCAAATTCACATATATATGTATATATATATATGAATAGTTTACTACTTTGATTTTATTTTTACATACGTATGAAATATAAATTTGTACAACTTGGAAAACATTGATACAATTTGAATATTTTATTTTACTATTTTGATTTTACGTATGTACACGTATGTTGATACACATACATATGTATATACAAATCGCATTATTTATTATTTATCATTTTAAATATTCAAGTTATATATCGGTACCTGTCTCCCAGGTATGTATAAATTTCTTGTAACAAAGAATGTCTCGCAGAGATATACGTTTAGAATAGTTTCATGGAAAATTGAGGTTAAAACATTGTTCAACGTACTTACAATACTTGCTGACGAAGAAACATACATTTCCCAGCCGCCATCGACGCCAGACGTTGAACGGTTTGCGGTCCAATTCAATTACCACGATGGCCACATCGACACCCAGCTCTGCACCGAACCAGGTGACTCCCAAGCGTCTCTTAACATCAAGAGAGCGGTCGTCTCCCTGTTCCAGTCGACCGTTGTGCAGGATAGCGGTTCGACGACACGCCACGAGGTTCGTGAAACCTGAAACAATTATCCGATTAAGCCAAACTTTCGTAGCACTACGTGCCAATTCTTTTCTCTCGGTTGAGCTTCGGCGCGCCGCTAAATTATTTTAACGACAAGAAGCAGTGGCGTTTATAAATAGTAAACGTATAAGAAGGAGATTAGGAAAAGACAAGACGAATAATATATAGTAATTAACTCTAATTAACTCAACAATTATTATAATTTAAATGCATCGTCAGAAATGTGCTTCCTCCTGAATTAAGCTGTCCTATACAAGCACAAGGAAACGAAGTCGTTTTCGAAATTTAAGTCTCGATGTTATCGCCATTTGTTCGATATTGCGATAACATGTCGCGATCGCAGTTCGAAATAGATCGTTCGTCTGTTTCTAGACGGACGTGATGGGATCCTGTCCGACGCAGTTCAACTTCCGGAAAGAGGGCGACTCCGTGATCGTGAACAAGAACAGAAACCTGGCCGGGTGCGCGTTCCGCGAGAACGTGAACCATGCGCTCATCTCCGGCAACACGGACACAACGGCCGGCGTGAAAACCGTCCCTCTGCTCGCGTCCCAGCAGTCGATCGAGCAACGATTCAAGCGCGGCGTTCTGAACAAGGCCGTGTCGAAGGAGGTGTACAATCTGCTCCCGTTCAGCAACGGGAACGCCGGCGCCAAGACGATCGTGGAAACTAGCCTGACTCTGAAGGACCAAAAGGGCGACAGTCCCGCGGCGGAGGTGTCTCAGCCCAAGTCCCTCATCTTCGAGGCACCGCACCCGGTGTTGCAATCGTCACCGGAAGCGATCAACAACGCGCTGAAAGCCGCCAAGGCGGAAGTGGCCGGAGGCGTGAAGCCAGCGGCCGCTGCGAAATTCACCGAGCTGGTGAAGGTGCTCAGGCTGAGCAGCAAGAACGACATCCTCTCCGTCTACCAGAAAATTCGTCCCGACAAGAGCGAGCAAAAGCTGTTCCTCGACGGTTTGTTCCGAGCTAGAAGCGGCGAGGCCGCCGAGGTCGGCGTCGATCTGATCAAGAACAAGGAACTCTCGAGCGTGCAGACTCTTCTGTTCTACGCGGGCTTGACTACCATTCGTCACGTGAATCTGCCGTCAGTGGCTGTCGTCGCGACGCTTCTCGACCAGCCCAATTTGCCACGACTCGGCTACCTCGGTGTCGGACAGGTGATCGGCAAGTACTGTCAGCAGCATTCGTGCGAGAACGTGCCGGAGGTGAAGCAGGCGGTGCACAAGATCCGCGAGAAGGTGGGCAACGGCAAGACGAAGACCAGGGAGCAGGAGAACACGGTCATCTCTGCCCTGAAGGCGTTGGGCAACACTCGGTTCCTGGACGACGCGACTCTGCAGAAACTGGCCAACATCGGCGCCGACAAGAACGTGCGGAACCGCGTGCGAGTGGCCGCCATCGAGGCACTGCCCAACAGATGCACGATGAAGTGGAAGAACATTTTGCTCAAGGTGCTGGCCGATCGAGAGGAGGACAGCGAGGTCAGGATCAAAACGTACTTGTCATTGGTCGCTTGCCCCTGCCCGCAAGTTGCCAATCAGCTGAAGGAGGTACTGGACAAAGAGACGGTGAATCAGGTCGGATCGTTCGTTCAGAGTCACTTGAGGAATCTGAGAGCCTCGACCGACCCTAGCAAACTGGACGCCAAGGCTCACCTCGGACAGATCAAGCCTCGAGGCAAGTTCCCCGAGGACATTCGGAAATTCTCCTTCAACAACGAGCTGTCCTACAAGGTCGACTCGCTCGGCGTTGGCTCGACTCTCGAGAGCAACGTGATATACAGCCAGAACAGCTTCGTGCCGCGTTCCACGAACTTGAACATGACCGTGGAGTTGTTCGGCCGGAATTTCAACTTCCTCGAGGTGAACACGCGCGTGGAGAATCTGGACCGGTTGCTCGAGCAGTACTTCGGGCCGAAAGGCAAGATCTGGGAGAAGGACTTGGAGGACTTGAAGACGGGCGCGAACGCGGCTAGCAAGCTCGGTAAGTACGCGAAGGAACGGTACGAGAGGCTGGTGAGGTCGAGGCGCGAGGTGAAGCAGGCCGACTTGGACAAATTCGCGAGAAACGTTCAGCTGAATCACAACGAGGTCGATCAAGACCTGGACGTCGACCTGTCCGTCAAACTGTTCGGCGTGGAGCTCGCTTACCTCAGCTACCAGGGCGACAGAAACAAACTGAACCCCGAGGCGATCATCGACAAAGCGTTCAGCAACCTCGAGAAGGGTTTCAACGTCGTCAAGAATCTCAACTACGACCTCGAGAACTACCTGCAGTTCCTCGACAGCGACCTCGTGTATCCGACCGGGTTGGGAAGCGCGCTGAGCCTCGGTCTCACTGGAACGAGCGCGCTTCGTTTGAAGACTTACGGGAAACTGGATCTCCAAGCTATCCTCAAGGACCCGAGGAACGCCAACTTCAGAGTCGCGATGGAGCCGAGCGTGTCCGTGAGAATCGCCGGGAACCTGGTGGTGCAGGCACCTGGTGCCGAATCTGGCATGAGGATCGTCACCACTCTTCACACGGCCACCAGCTCCGACATATCCGTCGCCGTGTTGAACGGGCACGGCATCGACGTCAACTTTGGCATACCCAAGAAGAAGCAGGAAATCGTGAACGTGGAGAGCGAGGTGTTGCTCTCATCTGGCGCCAAAGGGAACGAGTACGTGGCTCCCAAGTTCGTCAAGGGCAAAGAATATTCCGACTGTTTCGAACAATTGTCCACCGTTCTCGGCATAACCGTCTGCGGGAAGGTTTCGTACCCTCACAGAGACTCCAGCATCGGCAATCCGAGGCCACTGTTCCCTCTGAACGGACCGGCGAGGTTCGCAGTCAGCCTGGAGAACAACGACGTCACCAGCTATCGGTTCAAGGTCGATCTGAACGTGCGCGACGAGAAGAAACGTTCGTTCGAGATTCTTCTGGACACGCCGAACAGCAAAACTAACAGACGCGTGGCGCTGAACGTGGAGGCAGGCCTCGAGCCGAACGTGTACGTCAGAGCAGCGTTCCACTCGCCCATCAAAACCGCCGCGGCGGAGGCTGTACTCAAAAACACAGCCAAGGAACGCACCCTCACTGTTACCATCAATCACGATCAGCTGGAGTTCCGCGGTCGCGTAGGACTGTTGTCCAGCGGCAGCAAGTACACGCCCGTGTTCGAGTACAAGCTACCCGAGCACATTCAGCAGTTGGCCAGCGCGAGAACTGGCCTCGGGCCGAGTCAACAGTACAACGTGGAGGGCTCGGTGGATGTCACGAATTACGAAGGTGGCCAGAAGTATGTATTGGACAAGGTGGCCCTGGTCGCCGGTGATCAGAAGCTGTTGGTGGTCGACGGGACCATCGCGTGGACGCCCAGCAGCGTCAAGGCGGACACCACTGTCGGCTACACCGACAAGAACTTGGCCTTCAAACTGGACGGCAAGTGGAGCAAGGACGACTTCAAGCTCTCCGTTTCCGGCATGCCGTCCAGCGATCCCAACATTGGATTCAATTTGAACTGGGAGCTGAAGAGAGGCGAGAACAACATTGATCACAAGTTCGTGTTCATTCACGGAGCCGATCCAAATTCCGAGACCAATCGCCTGTCTTTGATACAGTCGGCAGTGTATAACCTGGATCCCAAGAATCTCGTTCTGAGCGCGTCCAGCAAGCTCACGTACCCCGTGGTCAATTTGAAATTGAAAGGCGAGGGGAAACTGACCCGCAAGTCGGTCAGCGCGTCCCTCGAAGCGAAGTACAAAACGTTCAAGTACGGGACTGAGCTGTCCGCCAAGAAGGACACGGAGAAGCCCGGCGACTACGAGATCGAACTGGAGGCCGAGCTGATGGAGAACAGCGTCGAGCTGAAGGCGAAACGCGTGGTTCTCGAGGCACGCAAGAGCCAGTTCACCAATTCCCTTCGGCTGGAACCAGGCGGCAAATACACCGCCGACGCGGTCGTCACCCACGTCGTTGAAAGGAACAACCTGAACCTGCAACTGGACGGACAGTTGGATCTGAACGGGAAGAAGGCGAAGCTCGGCGCCGGTCTGGAGGCGAATCCTCAACTTCTCAACGCCGCCGTCAACGCGAAAATCGACGGCGTGACGTACGTCGACTTTAATCTGAAGACCACCCGAGTCCCGAATCCGAGCGGCACTCTGAACGTCGACCTGAGGAACTGGCTGATAGCCACCGGCCAGTTCTCTTACAAGGACCGCAAAGGTAGCGCCAACTTGGACGTGAACATTCCCAAGATCAATCGCAAGATCAAGGCGACTGGTTCCCTGGTTGGTTCCGGTACCCAAGAGGTGCTGAACCTCGAGCTCCTCTACGACGCTGAGAAGGATCCCAGCAAACGCGTCAAGGTGTCCAGCGTCTCCGACATTACCGCCACGTCCCTCGACACGAAGAACGTGATCGATGTGTTGAACTACAAGCTGGAGGCGAACGTCAAGGGTCAGTTGCAGGGCAGCCTGAGGGAAGGTCAGCTGCAAGTGGACGCGGACGTCACTCTGCCAAGCGGGCGACACCTCGTGTACAAGGGGAGACGCGACGCCGCGAAGAGGGAGAACAAATACGACGTGAAGGTGTCGAGCGAGTTGAACGAGTACGAGCAGAAGGGCGGACCGTCGAGGAAGTTGGCCGCCAACTTCAATATGCTGGAGTTCGACCCGATCGTCGCGACCTTCAAAGCCAACGGCGACGTGAAGTACGTCAACAGGGAGGGGAAGGACGCGCGATTGGCGTGGAACGCGAAGAACCTGGATCAACCGGACAAGAAGAGGCTGACGGAATTGAGGGTTGAAGTGGACGGAACTAGGGTCCCGAGGAAGTTGCAACTGCAGGCTGACTCCGTCAAGGGCGACGGCGCTAGAACTTACAACGTCAAGTCGTCGTTGGGAGACGATCTGTCATTGTCGGTACGAGTTTTTTCAGCTTTTCTTTCATAGAAGGAACACACTATCCAAGTGGTCAAAGTAATCGATTTATAATTTTATGTAGTGTTTCTTTATTATTATTATTTTATATTGTTTTTTAAATTTTACATAGTGTTTGATAACACACTGTTCAAGTGGTCAAAGTAATCGATTTATAATTTTGTATAGTGTTTTTTTATTATTATTATTTTATATTATTTTTTAAATTTTACATAGTGTTTGATAATACACTGTCCAAGTGGTCAAAGTAATCAATTTATAATTTTATATAGTATTTTTTTATCATCATTATTATTTTATATTATTTTTTAAATTTTACATAGTGTTTGATGACACACTGTTCAAGTGGTCAAAATAATCGATTTATAATTTTGTATAGTGTTTTTTTATTATTATTATTTTATATTGTTTTTTAAATTTTACATAGTGTTTGATAACACACTGTTCAAGTGGTCAAAGTAATCGATTTATAATTTTGTATAGTGTTTTTTTATTATTATTATTTTATATTATTTTTTAAATTTTACATAGTGTTTGATAATACACTGTCCAAGTGGTCAAAGTAATCAATTTATAATTTTATATAGTATTTTTTTATCATCATTATTATTTTATATTATTTTTTAAATTTTACATAGTGTTTGATGACACACTGTTCAAGTGGTCAAAATAATCGATTTATAATTTTGTATAGTGTTTTTTTATTATTATTATTTTATATTACTTTTTAAATTTTACATAGTGTTTTATAGCACACTGTCCAAGTGGTCAAAGTAATCAATTTATAATTTTATATAGTATTTTTTTATTATCATTATTATTTTATATTATTTTTTAAATTTTACATAGTGTTTGATAATATACTGTCCAAGTGGTCAAAGTAATCAATTTATAATTTTATATAGTGTTTTTTTATTATAATTATTTTATATTATTTTTTAAATTTTATATAGTGTTTGATAACACACTGTCCAAATGGTCAAAGTAATTAATTTATAATTTTCCTTGGAAATTTTTAAGTAGTTGTAAAGCAGTGTACGAATGGAAGTTTGGGTGTTCTATTGTATTGTAAAGTTTTTCTATTTCTTTCTTTTTCTTCTAGTTTTTTAATCCAGTGTTAAATTTACTTAAATATTCAAACAGTAATTACTCAAACTGTTGCAGTTTCGTGAAAGTCGTACGACAATAAACCCGAGCTCCATTTAAAACTCGAAGCCTCTATTTTCAAACTGTATCTGTATTTTATTCCAAGATGTTTTTACATCACAAATGAACGTGTGACATAGATTTGCCTCCTATTTACAATGACTCTTTGAAACTCGATGTACGATTTTTCTTCGCCACTTTGTCGGATTTTGAACATTAGGCGAACACACAACGACGCAAATATCGCAAATATATTCTTCTAATGTTCAAAGCTGGTTTAAATGACGAAACGATACAAGAATGCATCAAGTTTTAGGAGGTCGCTCTAAAGAAAAGGACTCGATCTTCAAGTCCGATTGTGAAGAGATTCAATCGTGTGAAAAATTCCTTACACACTGTTGACAATTTATAGTATTTTCGAGAAGAAAGATGTTTTCATTTTCTCACCTCCCACGTGATGAAAAATGAAGCCTCGAACGATCTCCAGAACCAGGTCTATTGTCATAACGAAAAATTTTGTTTCATAAAATTTCAACAGTTTAACGATCAATGAGACAATCAACAGCTGATTAACGTTAACAACTTTTAACAGAGCAACGTAGATCTAAGAGAAGGGAACAACGTCGACAAACCATGGAGAGCAGACGGCGTCTTAGAGGTGAAACTACCCAGCGAGAAGCTGAGTAACTTGAAACTGGAAGTTTCGTCGAGTTTGTTGCACTCCAACGAGCCGGATATCACGAAAGCAACGGACACCGTGAGACTGACGTACAACAACGACAAAAAGATCGAACTGGACTCGGAATTGGAGCTGAAAGGACTGAGCAACACGATCACGAATCCCAGCGAGGGTCAAGGGAAACTAGCCGTGAACATTCTGGATCTTCCTCGCGTACAACTGTCGGGCAATTACAAGTTCAACCCGACGTCCGAGAAGAAGACGGCTACGAGCGTTTTGGACGTCCAGTACGGAGAAAAAGCGATCTCGTTCAGGTCCGACAGCGAGTACCTGCCCGCATCGTCCACCATCAATATCAAGGCCAAAGGCAATTTGCTCCACGAGAAACTGCGCAACGTTGACTTGCAGCTCCTCTACACGGTACTTTCTTATTAAAATATTGCCATTTCAGAATGACAGACGTGAAGAATGAAAATCGCGAGATGGATTTAATATCCTTGCTCAATGAGAATTCATTTCACTTCGCCTTTGTTAAGATCAAGGGTTTCTTTAACGTATTGTTTGAGTAAATTGTTTCTTCGCAAAATGGTATACGCCATTAAATTCGTCGTGAGGAAAAAACACTATTTTTATCGATCTACGCAAAAAAATGTAATTCCTCGGTAATTTCGGAGATATCTGACAAAATATGATTCGCACGCCCAACTTTGATTGACGATAAAAAAAGATACAGGTCAAACGTTTCCTCGAAAGCTACGTTTATGCCAAATTCCATCAAAATCGTTATTTCAAATCAAAATAATTATTTTAGGAGGTCATATTATATTAATTTCAATTGAAGGAGAAATTGATCTATGAGAAAATGTTCCAAAAAATGAAATAAAAAAGAAAATAATTCAGAAATAATAAATATAATTATTCTAAATTTTAATATTATTTTAATATAAAATCTATGATATCCTATAAATGTTCTTTCACGAATAATATCTCGAAATCATAAAAAATTTTAATTGTAATTAAATTTATAAATATAATTAATATTAAAAATATAAATTTAAAATTAATTCATAATACAATTGTAATTAATAAATTTATTAAATTTATTGATATAATAATTGGTCATGGTCTAATTTTAACTAAAAAAAATGGAAAATTTTTTTCCATTATAAAATACTAATTTGATTCATTAAAATATAATATTAATAAAATTGAAAAACATATGCTTGAATAATTACGGTACGTTGGTACTTGGTACACGATATAAAATCAAGGCATGATCAATCGATAGTTATTGACGTTCTGCAACAGTGGATGGTTCATTGAACCCCAAGTGATTATACGATCGTGACTGCCCTTAACAAACTTTGTATTTACAGAGATCGGAAGAGGAGAACAAGGTGTCGATCGACAGCAAAGTCGTTGCTGACGGCAACAAGTACACCCTGAATAGCGAGATTCAGCATCTGGACACGAACAGCCTGTTCCACGTGATAGCAACGTGCCCGAATGGGAAACGAGAGGTGCTCTCGAAATTCCAGAAACTCAACGACAAGGAGTACCAAGGTGAGTACCCGAGACATTCGACACAGTGTGCCTTCCCGCGAGAATCATGCCTGATGACTACGTTGATTTCGTTGATGATCGCAGGCGAGTGGAGAGTGGACACTCCGAAAGGATTCGTAAAGGCGGACGCGCACTTGAACCTCGAGAGTATCGACAATTTCGTGATCAACGCGAATTTCGACAGCGACAAGGTCAAGCACCGCAAGATCCACGCGGAGATTGCCAACAAGCCAACGGCGAAGAGCGGGAAAACCATCACCGTCACCGTGACAAGCGACGGAAAGAACGTCGTGACCGGAAGGTACCATTATGTTAAACATCTAACTAAGTAGATCAGACGAAAATTCAAAGTATTCCAGGACGTGAGCGTAGGTTAATACCCCATCAGGATATAAACACAATAGGTTAATATTGTATTACATATCCAGTACGAACTACAAACGACGCGACGAAGATGGGAAGATCGTGGTAGAGGGTAACGGGAACTTGAAGATCGGCGAGAACACCCGAAGCTCCTCGTTCAAGTACACCCGTCAGCAACTTAGCCGTGAAAAGGACGGGGAGGTCGGCGTGGCGATGGTGTTGAACGCGAATTTCGGCCCGTCCGCCATCGTCGGCGAACTGAAACTCTCCAACAAGGAGCTGCACATTTTCAACAGCTACTGCGAGCAGAACAAAGACTGCGCTCTGTTCAAGCTGCAGTCCATCGTCAACGTTCAACGTGAGTAACGCGAAGTGACGTTCAGATTTGTTCAACCTGGCGCGATATCTGTTGATCGGCTGTTTCAGTTCGGCTGTTTCAAAAATAGTGTTGGATAGTGCAACGATTGACGCACAACTTGGCGAAAGCACATTCACGTAATTAGGGGAGAAAGCTTCAATACTGATACGACATATCGAAGCATATTGTACATTGAGCATCGCGACTAAACGCTGCGGCAACTAAAATACGCTTAAATACGCAAAATTTCGCTTTACTTTCCAGAGAAAGCTCTACTGAAACATCAAGTGACGGTGGAAGTAGACTTGAAGAAGTTCAACGTGCCAGTGGAGTTTGGCCTGAAGACCAGTACCGAGCTGAAAAACCCGATCTTCGATCACACAACGAACCTTTATCTTCATTCCTCCAAGGACAAGACTGAATACACTTATCAACTGTACATTCATCCTAAAGAAGCAGGTAAGAACAAGGGATACGTGATTATCGAAGTGATTTGAAACGTCGACAGGGTTGATTTATTTACGACATTTCTGGTTACAGCTTCCATATTAACGTTGCCTTCTCGCGAGGTCGCCACCATTTTGACATACGATCTGCCAAAGAGCAAGCAGACAGCAGCGTACAAGATTGACGCGTCTCTTTACATGGACAGAAAGAACAAACCATCCGACAAGACCAGCCTGTCTGTCATCGGAGACATTAACGTCGAAAAGAACAGCGTGTCTCTCAGTGGAGAAACAAAGTTTACGTATCCAACGCAGCCAAAGGTAAAATATAACTTTCCTAATCTCTGTACAAGGCGTTTAAGATCTTTGAGAAGCTTCTAAATTTCAAACTTTTACATCTTACAAACCTCGAAATTTCCAACTTTTTAAACTTTTAAATTTCGAATCCCAAAGCTTTAAATTTTAAACTTTCAAAATTCTCAAATTTTTAAATTTTACACTTCTAAATTTTCCAAATTCTTAAATTTTAAATGTTTCAACTTTCAAATTTCGAACTTTCCAAAAATTTTTCTGAATTGAATTTTCCAAATCTGATTTTCAGGACATGGTGGTGAAAGGAAATCTCCAATACGGTGGCGAGCAACTGTTCAACGCCAATCTGGACGTCGACGTGTTCGCCAAGCGTGCCCAGAAGATCACGATCGCGGCGAATCTACAGAGGCAAGAGATCCCAGACGGCAGAAACGTGACCGGCCTGATCGAGGTGAACAGCCGCGGTCAACAACTGAAGCTCGACTTGAAATCTCACTTGACCGTGTCGAGCAAGCAAATAGGATTCGGTAGTTTGTTCACTTACAACGACGTGAAGCAGAAACCAAAGACCTTGGGAGCTCTGTTCTCCGCTGACGCGAGCCACGTCTCCCTGCTGGTTACTTTGCCTGATCGGGAGCTGATCAGGGACGAGTGGAAGCTCGATATCTCGAAGAACAAGCAGAAGATCGACAGGGAACTGTCTCTGTTGGGCGACGCTCCTCGCGTTCTATCCCTGGAGGCCAGTGACTTCAACAAATTCAAACTCGAAGTCTACCTGAAAGGTGATTTTACAGTTTAATGAGATGAAATTCGATTTTGAAGCGCGGTTGGAACTTGTCGACGTTCGAGAGGTTCGTTTCATCAACCGTGTTCTTCGTTTCAGACATCCCCAAGGACAAAGTGATCGTCAATGGTCAAATGGTCTTCGGTCAATTGGCGCAGATCCACGCGGACTATTTGAAAGACGGGACGAAGAAGAATCTGTTCCACGCGTTGGTCCATTTGGACGAGAAACAGTTCCTGAAGCCCGACTTTGGTTACAGCAAAGAGAACATTGTCGAACTGTTGGTAAGTTGATCAAGTCACACAAGCTCACGCTCGATAAAAATCTGTTTAATTGATCTGTTTAAATTGATTTGAATATCCTTTCACAGCAAGTCGTTAAAAACAAGAATCTTGCGCTGGTAAACAGACTGAAGGAGATCAACGAGTACGCGTTGGAGCAAGTAAAGGCGGAAGGCACCGACTTGGTGGAGCATCTGAAGAAGGCACAGCCGAACATGAAGCCGCTCGTGGATTACTATCAGGGAGAACTGAACAAGATAAAGAACGAGCTCAGCGCTGACGAGACCATCAAAGAAATTCAGGCCACCTTGTGAGTATTTCTCTCTTTCCCCCCCCGAGGGATTTCCATTTTCCTACCTTTAGTAATGGAACGACACCTAACGGAAGCATGCTTGAAAAATTACTTTGACACCTTTTCTACGTTTAAGCGTGTAATATGTCCAGTCCAAGGGAAAGGTTAGATGGGACTGTTATAACGCTAGTGCACTCTATGGGTAGAAAAAAATTAAAAAAAAATAAAAAAAAAGAAAGAAAAAAAGAAACTGTTACATACAAGCACAGACTCAAAAATGTTATACCGATTATATTCGTCCTCACTTCGTACTCACTCGATATGATCTTACAAAATAAAGAAAACATTTCTGAGCCTATGTTTATATGACACTATTTTTCTTATCTTTTTTTTTTTTTTTACACATAGAGTATGCTGGCGCACTTTGGCGGAAAAGTCCTTGGACATCGTGTACGTATACGTTGTAGTATTCCATGTTACATAGAGTGTATATCCATCTACGTAGATCTACGTGTATTGCGATGACTGTCAGTCATGACGATACGAAAGTAAAGCAAGAGAAAGCGATGTGCGAAAATTGGTAAAGAAAAGATCGTTCGTTCTTCTGTTGTGAAGGAACAAATACTTCGGCGCGATCATCTCAGCCATCACCGAGACGATGAAACAGGTCGCGAAAGGGGTCGAGAAGCTTCAACAACAGCTGAACGAGCTGACAGCCACACTGAAGGAAGCTGTCAGGTCAATCTACCCGAAACTAAAGGAGTCGTACGACAAAATATTCCGTCACGTCGTCGACATCGTCGACACCGCGGTGAAACTCGCCAACACTTATCTCAACGCGGTCCTCGACCTGATCAATCAGCACCAAAAGGAGATAAAAGACGTGATCAACGTGGTCACCGGGCTGTCTCAAGACTTCGCCAAGGTCGTGCTCGTGGCGTTCGAACAGATCAAACGGAACGTCAGCGAGTTTTACACCATGCTGGTGAACGAGCTGAAGGCCCTGCCTGTTTACGAAATGCTGAAGGAGAAGCTGGAGGAACTGAAGAACTTCGAGGTGCCGGAAACGGTTTTGGGCCCGCTCGAGGAAGTGTGCAAGATCACGAAGACCGTTCTGCCTACTGAGGAACTTCGCGAGCTCGTCGACGCTGGCTGCCAGTACGTCGTCAAGCATCTCAAACAGGAGAAGGTACGTCTTTATCTACGGTTGAAAGATTTTTCACGAAGGGAAATGCCTGACGCAAATTGACGCGAAAAGAAAAATGTACAGTGTGTTTGACAAGGATGCGGATGCTATTTCTCTGAAACAAAAGTATTCTTCTTGCAGAAATCGAAAGTGCATCTAAAATATTATTAACAGAGTGTCCAATCTCCATCACAAATAATTTAAATCTCTAAAAATTCACTGTTTCGTATTCTACAAAAATTATAGATTGGTCGTTTTGACCACTTCTTAGTGTCAATACTATCTGTCACGTTGTATATTAGTATAAGAGAGATCCGACTGTCCGAAAGCTCAGAAAATGTACACGATTTTATTTTACGACACAGTTGGACGAGGTGAGCGAACTGAAGAGGCTCTACTCGCACTTGATTGCCGCGATCCAATCGCTCCTGGGTCTCGTGCAGAAACAGACAACGTTGGACAATTTGTTGAGCTACGTTCAATTCCAACCACTCGACTTCAGCCTGTGGTACAGGCTTCCAGGCATTCCCACCGTTAGATTCTCCGTTTTGAACCTCTTGCGTAACGGAGAGCTACCGACGCCTTTGGACTTGTACCACGCTTACAGGTAATAAAGCCAATCCGAGACGGATGAAATCTTGCAAAATTGCGTTCGAATATCTGTCTGTGAGGAAAGAAGATTCCGCGAGGCTTGAATTAATCGTTACGCAGCGCACGACCAATTACACGATAAATCAAAGTGACAGATATAAATCACGTTTTCAATTTTTCTCGCTCTTGATCGCGATTATGTACTAACAATCGTTTTGTTACGCGAAAGACGAGTCGCCTTCTATGAGCGTCAGTCGAAAGCCATACATTACATAGCATAGCTTGAAGGAAAGGACTCTTCGAAGAGTCTTGAGAGAATACTTAACACTGAAAGAGACTTTTTGAACAATTTCGAGAATCGACGAACCAAGACGACCAAGTTGCGTTAGATTAAATCTCTAAATTTGGCGTTTAGACCGACTCTGTACGTGCAAGATATCGTGCCACCGTTCAGCAAGTGGGGAATAGTCACCGACGGAGGCCACTTCTTCACGTTCGACGGACGCCATTTGAGCTTGAGCGGCACCTGCACCTACATTCTGGCGCAGGATATGCAGGATGGGAACTTCTCCGTCGTGGCGAACTTCAACAACGGGAATCTGATCAGTATCACGATCACCGAGCCTAAAGAGAGCATCACGCTGAAGAACAACGGGAACGTAAGTGAAACAAAAGAGAAAAATTCCGATCGACGATTCGATCGGATCAAAGGGCAACGATTTTGACAAATGTCGCAAAATGGTAACTGTGTCTTGTTTCTTTCAGATTTTGGTGAACAACAAGCCGGCCGATTACCCAGCGAACACGAACAACCTGCACGCTTTTCTCATCCAGCCGTTCGGCAACGTCAAGTCCGATTACGGTGTCTGGCTCACGTGCACGAACAAAGCGCCAATGATCTGCACCGTCCAGGTTTCCGGCTTCTACCTGGGTAAACTCCGTGGAATCTTCGGCGACGCGAACAACGAGCCTTACGACGACTTCACTCTGCCCTCTGGAAAGGTACGCGTCTCGCGTATCGCGAGATTTCTAAAGGGTATTTCCCGCGTTTACTCACGGAAGCGGGGCGTTCGTGGAAATTGCCCGGACACCGAGGCGCTCACGTGCCTCGCCGACCGGGGAGTATCGTTCGATCTTTAAAGGGTAACGCTCCTTCCTCAAGCGTGCGCGTCGACTCGGCGGCTTTTTTTCCGAGGCAGCTTCCAGCCCGTCGAATATATTTCCAGGGGAAAAAGAGTTAACTACGCGCGCGGAATTTTTCACGAGACTCGCGTCGAAGAGATTGAAAAACACTCCCCTAAGAGACTAAGAGACACGCGACATTACTAAAACTTTCGTCGCCCCATATCAAATATTTTCCTTTTAACCTCTCGCGCTGGAACAACGTGTCACGCACGTCGCGGATTCTTTGTCCCAAAATTGTAATAGTTTCTCAGTTTTAAGTATATTTAGAGTCAAACGAAATAGGCGAGACAAACAATAAATATATTACTTCTCAATAATTTCTATCCGGTGATATCGTGGCGACGTGTTCGAAGAGAAAGCGACGAATTATTGTATTACGGTTTGGTCACTCGTTACGGTCCGCAATCAGTTGCCAGCGCAGGCGGTTAATGGAAATCTTTTGGACGAACGTCTGTCGACTGGTCGACAAATAGCGATTTTTTTTTTTTACGAACAGTTCGAAAAGGAGGATCTTTTTTTTTATCGTTTTTAGATCACCGAAAGTGGAGCAGAATTTGGAAACGCGTACAAGCTGAAGGGTGAATGTTCAGAAGCGACTGCAGTCGACCACACAGCGCGTGCTCCGGTCTGTACCGACTACTTCACCGGCACCGCAACATCTTTGAAGTACGTGTCTCTTTTTAAATAGACTTTGTACTACTTGCATTACTTGTGCAAATCTTTTCGAAAAACGTACATTTACTGAAACAATATTAGACTTGTGCCGGAGCTGGAAAACATTACAACTCCGTTTTCTCTTTACCAAGTTACTATTTCAAGGATCAACACACTCCCTGATATCGAGCAATTTAACTTTCCTCTCTGTTAACGTTAATTCGAATTCAATTTCTTCCCTGTGTCAAATACAAATTTTCCAATCGCATTGTCAATTACACGCGCGCTTTTCTACCCGAATATTGAAAATATGTTCCTCTAATTTTTAATGAAAATGATATAATGTTCCATCTAATAATATACTTGTAAATAATATATATTTCTCTAGTATCTGACGAAATATGAAAATGATATATTCGTCTAATATCTAACGAAACATTATTATACAAAAATATTATTATACGAAAATATTATTATACAAAAATGGTTTAGTATTTATTAAAAATAATATATCCCTCTAATATCTAGTATTTATTAAAAATAATATATTAAATAATATAAATAATATATTATCTAGCATTTATTAAAAATAATATATTCCTCTAATATCTAACGAAATATTGAAAAATGATACATTCTTCAGTGTCTATAGTGAAAACGATACATGCCTCTAGCTTCTAATGAAATACGATTGCAGATCGTGCTTCGACATCGTCAATCCGGCACAGTATCGCGATGCCTGCGATCATGCAGTCGCCGGTAATACACCAGCAGGCGCTTGCATAATCGCCAGCGCTTATCACACTGCTTGCTACAAACAAGGCGTCATGAGCACCCGTATCCCAGCGTCTTGCAGTGAGTTTTCTCTGAACTTAATTTCGATGCTACGCGCGATACTAAACGCGTTTACTTTTTTTTTTTTTTTTGACGGAGCTTAAATAAAGCTAAATACTTTTCCCGTTGTTATCAGCGAACTGCAAAGTTGGAGCTAACAAGGTCGACGTAGGCGACACGTTCAGCGTGAAAATCCCGAAGAAAGAGGCCGACGTTATTTTCGTGGTGGAGCAGCAAACGCCGAACGAGAAAATTTACAAGGAATTGGTTGTACCTTTGATGTCCGAACTCAGAACGGAATTGAAACAGCACGGAGTAACGTGAGTTGGATGTTCGATTCACCGTGGAACAAATCTGGCTTTTCGCTCACGTACAGTGAAGACCATAACTGTACCGATGACAGTAGGAAATTGTCGATAATTTCAACCGGCGGTTAAACTTCGTGAAACAATCAATTTGGTCTCGTTTTAAAGCGTGAAACTTCTAAACGTCTCGACAGACGTGAGTCCGTTTCTCTTTTCTTTTCTTTTCTTTTTCTTTTTCTTTTTCTTTTTCTTTTTCTTTTTCTTTTTCTTTTTCTTTTTCTTTAAGTGATTTCACATCATGCAGTGAGATACAGGAAAATACGAGAATACTTTTTCTCTCGAAAATCGTCAAAGTTCAAACGCGTGCAAGGATGTTGAAAAATTTTTTTCACCAGTAAATTAATTAACAGTATGGTTTTGAAGATTGAAATTTTTCGTTTACAAAGAATTCTTTAAAACTTGCTACACGATTTTTTGACCGCTTTATTGAACTTGAAACAAAGCGTTATTTCTTGAATTTTTGTCGTTTGATCGGATTTTAATTCTTAAAATTATGATAGACCCAGTTACGAAGAAAAATTGTCTCGTACGCTTGAATTTTTACAATTCAATGTTCCAAAAAGAAAGTATCCTTGCGCGACTTGCAAGGAACAAAATCACGGTTGTCAAAAGTTTTAAACGAAACCAAGTGGCTCGTTTTCTCCTTTCTTTACGAAGTTACATCAGTTTAAATTATCGACGATATTTCATCGCCAGTGGTACAGTGTTCGCAGTAGCTTTCAGAATACGTCTACAGTACCGCCATTTTATCGGATTACATCGGATTTACCGTCGTTGTTACAATTCATTTCACAGAGACGTGCATATCGGACTTATTGGATACAGCGAGAAGATGAAGTGGCCGTTGCACTACACGTTAAACGGCGAGACCAACATCGAGGGCGAGGTGAAAAACATGAAGTTCGACGAGAAGAAACCAACAATTACTCTGCAGGTAACCATGCTTTCTGGTCGACACAGAAAACGACACGATCACGTTACGACTGCTCGATCGAAATCGAGTTTATCCTTTCGTTTGCTCCGCGTGTGAATAGTGGCGACGCTCATTTAAAAAGAAAAGAAAAAGAAAAAGTACGGTGTGATAAATACAAGCTGACGTAACAAAAGTGTCAAGATCACTGAAAAGTTCAATTACACCTCCGATTGACGTAACGAGCATTTTTTCGCGCGTCGTTCGTCAACATTTTTTCTTCGCTCGCGCGTGTAAATCACGTAGTTGGCGCCTCGCGCGTTTTACAGCAGTGAGAAATTGATTCACTGCTCATTATTTTCCTCGTTGTAAAACATTGGATATTAACGGATATATCGGAATAGCAATCATTTAGCTACGTAAAGAGCGATCGTTAGATAAATCAGGAAATAAAAATAGATTCACGTGGACCGGCACAACGAAACATACTCGCGGTGGCAAATTGCTGCTCGATGAATATTCACGCGATTAAAACGCGAAATCCGTGTCTATCAAACGCGTGTTACGTGCGATATCTCAATGTTCTTTGTTTCGTGTAACACGTTCGCTGCGTTCAATTACGAACGTATTTATTATCGTAATTTCATAGAGACACGAGAAGTCGCGTCGTTTTTTCTTTTTCTCTTTTTTTTTTGTTTTCTTTTGCAACTGGCGTCGTTCATGCATGCGCCAAGTAAAAAGGATAATGACTTCCAGGAAGCAAAGAATGGCGATACAAAGACGAAGCTGGATTATTTACACCAGAAATTGGACGTCGAGCTGGGTACATTCAAATTGACCGACGCTTACGAGGCGGCAATTCGATATCCCTTCAGACCTGGCGCAGCCAAGGCTGTAATTGGAGTGATTGCCAACCCTTGCGAGAAGACCCCGTTCCTTATTTCGGTAAGCTAGATTTCTACTATCTTCAACAACGAGGCAGCGTTGTGTTAGTAATTAATTTAGATCAACTAGAATCAGGGGCAATCACGCTTCCAAAATCTAAATTGCCCGAAATCTATACTCTTGTACACGTTCCATTTGTTTGTAGAAGTGTGGATGAAGGTATTGAATAGGTAACTAATTCGAAATTATAGTATTAGTATACCATAGATAAAAAAATGTCTTTACTTATATTTCTGTTTTGTTTGTGATTGTTTGTAGAAAGGTGGATGAAGATACTGAATAGGTAATCGATTTGAAATTACAGTATTCTAATCTAAAATACTTCTATTTATATTCTATATATATATCTAGTTTGTTTGTGATTGTTTGTAGGAATGTAGATGAAAGTATTGAACAAGTAATTGATTTGAAATTTACAGTACTAGTATACAACAAATAAAAGAATATCTTTACTTACAGTCCAATTTTGTTTGTGACTGTTTGTAGAAGTATGGTTGAAGATATTGAACAATGGTAATCGATTTGAAATTATAACATTCTAATTTAAATATTTCTACTTATATTCCTAGTTTGTTTGTGATTGTTTATAGGAATGTAGATGAAAGTATTGAACAAGTAATATACCATAGATAAAAAAATATTTTTACTTATATTCCTGTTTTGTTTGTGACTGTTTGTAGAAGGGTGGATAAAGATACTGAATAGATAATCGATTTAAAATTATAGTATTCTAATCTAAATACTTCTATTTATATTCCTAATTTATTTGTGATTGTTTGTAGAAGTGTAGACGAAGGTGATACATTCTTTTTATAATTTCCTTTCATTCAATTATCCCGATTCAGATTTCATTCCTTTAGTTTGATAAAAGCAAAACCGTGGCAATCGTATCGCAAAGAAGCATACTTATCACAATCATGCTAGAATACTAGAATTACTTATTCCGACTGTTTCAGTTGCAACAAATCAGGCTTCTACTCGGTCACAAGATATACCGTGATTTGGGACTCACCTACTACCATGTGTCGTACCCCGAGGAGCTGCTTGTCTCGGGCAAAGCTCAGAAGAACATCGTCGGCTACGACCAGGACAGCGTGTACACGTTCGCTGACAGCAAGAAGAAGCCTCTCACCGGAAGCACCGACATGAAGAGCAATCTCTCGCCGGCGATCAAGGACGTCTGCGCTGACTTCGCGGTTTCCGTAAGTGTTCAACAAGTGATCCTCGTCTATTATTAGTTGTATAGTTCGTATTCCGTGAGCGTTTTCGAAAGACGGTAACAAGCAAAGAGAGAGAAGCTTACCTGAGAATCATGTTTCCAGTCTGGTGGTGCAGCGTTCAGTTCGAACAATTTCCTGGACGCCAAGCCGAACCAGAAGAAGCAATTCGTCCACGTGGCCGCGAAGAGAGTCGCCGACGGACTCGTTAACTTAGAGCTGGAGAAGGATTGCTCGTGCGAATACCAGTACGGTATGATCGGTCGTGCTCAGTGCAAAATCGTAGCACGCAAGGAGGTGAGTAGCAGATTTCACAAATTTCTGTAAAGCAGAGAATCAGAGACATTTAGAAGTTGCGACCATTTGAATTTTTCCTCTAACGTTTCATCTCTAAATCGACTGTAAAAATTTCATAATCGCGCCAACTAGTTTCTCTATCGAATCGAAGCGTTCAACAAGACCAAGTAAAATAAAGTCAATCGAAAAATCTAACACAACTCGAAAAATCCACAGCGCGTTTTAATTGCGCTTTGGAGCGAATTGGAATTTATACCATTGAGCCGAGTAATTCGCGTCACCCCAGTGAGAAGCCGGAGTTGAATCTTTCTCTGGCCTGATGAATGACCGGAGCCGTGTATTTATGTTTCAGAGACCCAAGGGAGGAGCGAAGGATTAAAGCGAGCTCGTTGCGCAGACTATCATTACTAATTAATTTAGGTGTATTGTGTTTGTTACTTTGTTATGATACGGCAGTCGTATTTTTTTTTATTTTTTTTTTTTTTTCGATATACTATGTAAGCAAATTAAGGTCGACGGTACTTCCCAGCGACGGGGAAGGCCACAATTATCACGAGAAACTCACTTTCCCTGGGTCGAGATTCGCTCTCTGGCGAGGCTCGTCCGACACCGATCGTCCCTATTTTCTCCTTTATATATTTCTTCGCTAGTTATCACGTATACGTTGTGTAATGTGTAAACGTTGAAAATTCGCTGGCAAATCAGCTCTTATTACGGCCTTTACAAACGCATCAGGTATTTAATAACGTTTCGACGGGTGACAATGTAAGGAAAAGAAAAGGAAATAATAACCGCAATGAATAACGCAACCGTAATACCTGCACGTCCGACACCGCGAACGATACACCGGAACAACATCGATTCGATTTACGGTACGATTTGTACGGCTTACCTTTATTAAATTAAGATACCGGTGCTGTACAACTCGAGGCTAATCTGAATTCAATACCGACCGACGTACCGTTTATCGTCGATGCGAATGAAAACGATCATACGCGCTAAACAATACTATGGCTTGTGAAGAAATATACGTACACTGTTCTTGTATATATTATTGACGTTTGACGTTTCTTGTTCGCCCCTAAACCTCTCTCTCTCTCTCTCTCTCTCTCTCTCTCTCTCCGCTGAATCCTGCAATCGCGAAAATTTCCAGCCAGGGAAATAATAAGATTATCGTCAAAATTGGAGTCGATCGATCGATCGATATTGCCCGCGGAATGTTCCCTTCGATTTTTCGATTTAATCTCTCCTCCTTTTAATTTTAAGAGACATTCGCCCGAATTACTATATCATAGACAAGAACGATCGCGTTTAATTTCATCTCGCGGAATGAAATTTCGCTTCGCGTTTCCATCGAATCGAGACGTGGCAATGTGAAATATATCGCGAATGCCAGAAATTGAGGAGCAATTGGCTAAAAGGCAAGTGGCCGAGGGCAACGATTATCAAAACGAAGGAAATCGAGTCACGTTAATGAATATTCAACGGGCTCGGAGACAAAAACCCGGGAGGGTTGATCGCGTTTCAACGGAATTCGTCGAATAAAACGCTCCGCTCTCGTTTGTCATTGATTTTATTTGTTGAACGTAACCCAAGTTTCAAGTACAATTACCGTCACGCTCGCATTGTACAGAATCTTGTCTCGATAGTTCGTGACTTTCTTTTTTTTTTTTTCCCCTCTCCAAAATGTCTATTTCGTCACACTCGAAAAATTGCGATTTCGACAATGTCGCAAAACCAAGCGACCAGCCGCGGAGAGGCTACGGATTCTTTTTTAGACACATTCACGTGATCGAGGAGGCTTTTTTATACGTATCGTTCTCGCGATGACGTTAATGCCACGTCGGTCACGATAGCGAAGTGTGCATGCACACACTATTTACGTTTGCCGCCGTGGTGTATCTGTATTTGAAATCAAAATTCCTTGCCTGGTTAATGAGGGAGGTTCATCAGATAACTCCCAACGACCACCGAACCGGTGGTGTGTTTATTTTTAAAATGTTTGCCTTAATTATCTGTAAATTGCTCTTTCGCAATCAGCGATGAGAATATTTTGAAAAATTTATAAGGAAAAATTTATCGCCCTCTTGGCGACGTGATTAATTATTTAAAAAAAAATCTTCGATCGTACTTTTACCAAATTCATTTATTTTTAATCCGAATGAAAATGACAGCAGAGTTGCTTCATTTATTTTCATTTTATTGTCCCAAGTCTTTTCGAAATTAGCAATGTTCTATCTACATTATTTATCCTGTAGCATTTTGATCGTAGCAGAAGAAAATTTACTGACCCAACAGCGACAACGTACACCCCATATATACGCGATAATGCGTATCACTAAGCGCGAATTAAAATTGAGAAATGGAGCGTGAGTGTACTCGAGACAATTCAATTCGAGAAACCCTACGCTAATACGTCGTGTAACAAATCGAATTATTTGCAAACCACCATCAGATACTTTTCTTCGGCTGTGTCCGCTTTTCGTTGAAAAATCAACAGCAATTAAATTGAAATTTTGTACACGCGTGAAAAGTAAATCGTAACAATAACTTTAACGCGTGATTAAAGAATATTTCCTCAAGGATCGTTCGTCGTTGTTCTTCTAAAGTCAAGCGAAATTTAATTGAAGAGATCATACAACATGCTCTACGACGACGACAAAGTAACAATTACGAAAGACGAAAGGAAAGGTCTGGCGTATCAACCTTTTCGTTATCATTAAAAGGAAGGAAAAAAAGAAGGGGGGGGGGGAGGAAATAGCGACGGTAGAAACTTCCAGATAAAGCAGACAGAGAAATAGAGCTGGACAAGATACGCATTGTGCAATCCGCGGCAGACAGAATCTACTTCGCTGACCTACTTGGTTTAATGCGAGACTACTTAACCCTTTGATGACCACCACTGCAACTTGCGCGAACCTTCTCTTCTGCACACATTATGGATCCGTGCAGTTATTTCTACCAGTTGGAAACAGCAATTTTGCATCGCACAATTTCTCACCTTTTTTTCAAAGAAAACGGGAAAGAAAAGAAAAACGCGTTTACCGATAACTTACGAAATGAAATTTCTCCCGAATAATCGTCAAAATTATGCGATCAGAGAAAGATCCTGTGAAACATAGTGAAAACAGGAGGTGACAAAAGTTTGGCAACTGTGACTGTAATTGGTTTGCATTCGGCACTGCGAAGCCGAAGAAAGTTCATGGCGAGAGGAAGTAACGGGGCAATTTAATAAAAACTTCTCGATCGCCTGGATCAACTACATACTAGGTTCTCAACGAAATTATCCGGGATCCACCGATGAACACAGTTTGCAGATTCAAACTATTCACGAGTAAATCCAATCGCCTCGCGAGTCCGTTTTGTCATTTGCTCGCTCTGCCACGCAACAGATTATACTTTTTTCAAATGTGTATACATAGGCCGCGACAAAGTTTAAATTTTCGAAAAAGAATCGGTCGTTTCGGTTGCACCGAAGAAATTACATTCCAGATGTATTTGGTAAGAAAAGAACGACGAATCTTCTCGAACCTGAGTGAAAGGTATCTCTGTTCGTTTAATAAAACTTCCACGTTTATTACGCGGGATATACATACGTGGCAGATCGATTCTTAATAAGATCGTTTTTCCAAAAAAAATCTTATCAATACAGAAATTAAATAAATGGACGAACGAATAACCGACTGAATAAGCGTCGAAACTTGTCTCGTCTTTTCGATTCTTAGTGATTCTAGGATTCTTATTTGATGTTATCTACTCGATTCTTATTTGGTGTTAAATTTTTCTGCTCTTTTTTCTGCTTTCTCGAGCTTATCGGGCGCTGTCATTGCACGTTCGCAATTAGCTCTGCCGACAGCAACTATCTTCGACGCTTTCGCGGCTGTGTACGAGTTAAATTGAAATTTACCATTTAGAGCTGCTTGTTCTATTTACGATACGTAACTGCGCGTGCCGTATCGAGCTCGAGTCGACGCAGAAGACAAAAAAAAAACAGAGAAGAAAATAATGCAAGAAACCGCGTATTCACAACCCGTTGAAACTAGGATAAGATGATACGTCGGCAGTTCTTCTTCGCGTTTCACAACAGAGAACTGTCTCCGTGTATTATTCGACGGACAAATCCACTTGGGAAAACAATAGAACGGAAAGTGAAGTTATAAGGAGAATGTTGGAAAACGTTGTGAATCGAAATGGCATAGTGGCCATTTCTGGTAGTCGAAACTGTTTGAAACGAGATTGATCAACGAGTAGATCGCTGGTAATAGAGATTTCGAAAAAAAAAAAAAACTTCAAAGAAACTCATTTACAATTGGTAAAACTGGGACAAGACGAAAGAAAGGAGGATCAAAGTAGGAGATAGTAACGTGCAAATCAAATTACGCAAAATACGCACGCTTGATTGTGGAACTGTGAATGAATCGCACGACAAATGTCGAAAGGAAGAACTGTAAGAAATTTATTTACAACCATTGCAACCGAGACGAGATGATCGAAGAGGAAGAACGTCGTAGATCAAAATGATATGAATTCGATGCGTTCGAAACTATGATTGACGCAGTCATAAATTTCGAAATTATGATTGACGCAGTCATAAATTCCGAAACTATGATTGACGCAGTCATAAATTTCGAAACTTTATTTACAAGTTTTTGTGGAATTCTTATTATGGAAGCGTGTAGCTGGATATGTTAGCAATGTTTCATGCTCCGTAATGAACTGTCTTTATACGTTTGACAGACGAACGTTCAAGCATCGTTTAGAACAGTCAAGTTATTTAAATTCAAATTACTTGAAACCTCTTTGCGATCGTCGAACGTAAATTTGAAATATCTATTCAAGTTTTTTTTTCTTTTACATTTGACTTCAATTAATTTCCGTTTAAGCTTGAAACTCCAAGCGAAGCTTGAGATTTTGCTGAGGCTAGGGCAGAAGTTATCTCGACTTGAATTCAATTGAATTTGACAATTAATCTGAACGAAACTTGATTTGGACCGAGTGATTACAGAACGCCGAGAATTTCGAAAATCGATTTTGTAATTTATAAATTAAAATAACACACAGAACTTCGTGTCTTCGCTGCAGAATGATAAAAATAGATAAATGACAATGTGACCAAAAAAAAATAAAATAAAAAAAATCAGACACGAAACAACTAGCTAACTATGGAAAAACTATGTCATCCAGCGAATAAAACGGACGTGGATACAATGATGATAGACCCACAAATCGATCTCGTCGATCTCGTATAGATATAATTTCTAATTCCAATTCGATATTACGTAACAGACTCACTGATTTAATGAGAAAGATACAATTTTCTTGCAGTGTCGCGCGAAAGACCATTGCACGTCCTTGACTCTCTATCCTCAGTTTCAATTTTAATGGAATAGAAAAAGAAAAAGATTATAGAACTCTGACTCAATTTGTGAGTAAATCATGTAAAAATAACGGAGCCGTTTTTGTTTGTTTCTTTTTTTTTAACGAACGTCCTTTTATTTCTGTCTTGTTGTTTTCCATGACAAAATACGAACCAAACTATCGAATTATCATTGAAAAACAAGGGATCGACGTATCTTGGCTACTATCTGAACACGATATGTTCGAAATATTGTACAGCGGGCGAGACAATACGAAACATTACGTTTATATAAGTTTCAACAACAGGGAAAATCGACGGAAAAAAAAAAAAGGATTGTTCAGAGACCTGTCGCGCGCCTCTCTGTAAACGCAAAAATCACGCACCGGAAATCGATTCGTAAAAAATAATAATTTATTAACGATAACGCTGCTCGAAGATAAAGTGCATCTACTAATATTTAAATAATTTTTATTGAATATCATAGGTAATATGAATTAGCAAAGATCATACCCCGTAGCGGCGTCTCCTTTTAAATAAAGAACAATGACTGTTCGGAAACACTGATCATATATACCTGCACGTTCCGTGTGGCCTTCGTTCTCTCCCTCTTCCTCACTCTCTCTTCCACTCCATCACGATACACAACTTCATATACTTCATTTTTCTCAATTTCTCTCGTTCTCTCGTTCTCCCTCGAAAGATTCATTCGTTCCTCTCTTTCTCTCTCTCACACACACTTCGATCCCATCGTATTGTTTTATTCGGCAATTAATTCATTCATTCGCTCTCGCAACATCGGCGACATAATCGTCTAATTAACACTTTATATGGTACTTAGAGAGCTCGCGCATTCGTGTACGCTACATACACAGTCACACGCAATTTGTATTCACGCCTATGCGCATACACGACGTCCGTACGTATATGAACCACAGCTGCATAACTGCATCTCGCACGCGTCTGCACCTAGAAGTTACATTTATTATTACATGATTGTACCTAACAAGCATGAACTTTCCACGATCGAATTGTCTCCCGAATCCGGCTTACAGTTATAAATATATATACTATATATATATATTTATATTTATAGATATGCAGCGTGTCTCGAGATTTAACGCCCAAACTTTGCCTTTGTTAAAAAGTTCTAATAAAATTTCGCGCCACTGGATTCTCACATTTAAATGTCCTCAAAGGATATAGACACAGATTGAACAAGTATTAACTGACATGACGAAGCAAAATCAAAACGGGCTTCAGAAGGTAATAATTTCAATTTTCGAAACAAAGTGTTAACAAACAGATGTGTAATATCCTTGTTGCAGCCATAGAATATTGAAAAAAATTTGTTTAGCCTGTTAAGCCCGAGACACTCTGTATATAGATACATATCTATGTACATCTATATATTATATACAATATGTTCACATGTATGGATATATTACATATACATGTACATGTATATGTATCGTGGAAATCAAGGGGTCCTCTACGTTCGTTAAGCTGCGCTTAAATAAAACAGTACGTACAATTGTTCCTTTCTTCGTCGTATCAGTAAATTTGTACCCGCGAGAACGAAGTTTCCTTTTTATCGACACGTTGCGCGATTTAATCTTTGCCGCGACATGAACCACAAGAAGTACGTCTTCGTGTATCACAGAAGTGCCTCCAGGCAGACGTCCCACCAATACCGAACGCGTCAACGAGTCAATCGTTGACCGTAAATAATTTCGCACACGTCGCGCGAATGTCCGCCGCGACGCCTGCACAAAGTGTCTCACCTTTTAGGCGTTTACAAATTAATTCAAGACAAACACTTGGCGCAGGTGACGGGCCGGGTACTCGCGTTCGCTGAAGTATGAAATACTTCTAGGATATTTGAACTTCTTTAGCGAAGAAAAAGGCCCTGAGATTGGTGTCGAAGATTGCAATTGAAATTTGGACGAATTGCTTTTAGAATATTCCATTTTTAATGCATACTTTGACTATGCGACCCGTGTGTAGAATGCTTCGAGTAAGAGGTTACGGATCTTTTGAATACAATGGAACCTCGACTGTATTAACCGAGGAGCTAACAAAGTGACCTGCTGTTTCGAAGTATGTTAAATATGGGCTAAAGTATTCTTTTGCTATCCCGAAGAAAGATAAACGTGGACAAGGGTCCTTTTTGTTATGAACCTTTCAATTCGTAACACACGTACTCTCTGATCTGATTGAGTACAGAATGATAATTCTAAACTAATTTACGACTACGTTTTTTAGAAGCGTTCTCTACACGGTCGCGGAAAGCAGCGTGATTTTAATCAAAATATCCAACCTCTAAATTCATCGAATTTCATTCGAATCCTCGGCGAGACCAACCAAGAGATATTTCTTTTGCTAGTCTAACTGCTGAGAAAACAAGCTTGGCAGTACATGAAGAGTACACCTGGTGATTCCATTTCGTTCGTTGAGCGACGAACGACCCGGTTAAGGGGTTGGTTACAGTTGCCATACATACAGTCCTCTTATCTCGTAGAAATCTTAAATAAATCTTGGTAAGGCAGTGCCAGCTCGATGGTACATGTACGGTGGAGGAGGCGGGCCGGTGTAGTGCCTCTGATGTGGATGAGGAAGCGACGACCTGTGGGAACCCATTGTCCCGTTCGACGATGACACGTGCTGCAGGAGATGAGAAGCTCCGTCTCCAAGATCCAACTCCAGTTCCTGTTCCTCTATCAGTTGCAACGCACCGAAAGACGCTGTCGCCATCGCCACGTCTGGCATCACACCCGACAGTTGTCCATCGCTACACGAATTGTTCTCTTGTTGCTGAATCGAGATGGAAAAAAAAAAATGGAGAAACAGAACGATGAATTATCAGAAATAGTTGAGAAAACTGTTAATTGGTAATTTTCTTTTTTGTAGGGTTTGGGATTTCTTTCTACATTTAATCTCGGAGCCTATCGAAGATCAATTGTACGGAATCTTTCGTCATTTTTTTTTTTTTTTTTTTTTTTTTTTTTTTTTTGTTTTCAAATAATCTTCTTCGGGGCACAAAGGTATAGCTATTTCCCTACCTCCGCAAGACGTCTGCAGCTTTCACCCTCGGTGACTATAGCTGGAAGCTCGTGCCTGTGGGTACAAGAAGAGGCTGGCCGCGGGAACGTCATATTCCTTCCGTAGCACAATGGCGGAGCTGTTCTAGCGTTGATCCCCACACCCGGCGAATCCATGTCTTCGATGTCGGTCAGCCTCTCGTTTTGCTCCTTCACGTTGTACGCGGCTGTGTTCTGCGAATGGAAGCAGACAGAAAAATTACTTTGATAAGAAAACGAGAGAAAAAAAAAAAAAATGTTCATCAAGTTTTCAATCTCTATTCTTGACAACGTTGTTGGCTGAACGATGTTCATCCGGATTTGAAACCACCGAAATCGTGTTTCCCTAACAAGAGGACAGGTCGAAAGTTACGACGGGTCCAAAAGCGGGCTTAATTTGTAAACCGTAGCGGCGGGGCTTAACAAACTTCCCAACTAGAACCTTGAACGCAGGATAGCTTACACCTTTAGCGACATTCATTAATCACCGAGATCCAAGGTATTTCAACGACAGGCGAGACCGTCTACGAAATCCCATGACTTAAAAGCTCCTCTAAAGCCTGACGTCAAACGTCGAGTGCTGCGTTATTAGATTACTCCCGTAAGCTTTGCCGTTCTTATTTAACCTTTTCGAAAGATTAGAAAATCATGCTAAACACGTCCAACCAGGCAGTGTCACTCGCCTGTAAACGATGATATAATGCCACGCGGAATGTAATAAATAATTAATCATATACAATGTATGTTTCATTGTTCGTTTTCATTCAAAATAATACTAATATCCCGTGAGGACGGAAGCTCCGTCGAAGCGAAAATGGTCATTAGTAAATCTGTCGATCATGATGCACGATTTGCGGTTCTACGCGTGACCCACGTTTCCTCCTAACACGCAGCAACATCATTCGAATTCAATTCTTATCGAAGCTGAAAGACGGGGATACCATCAATGAGCGTTGAAAAGAGGGAGAATAGGGATCAAAGTCAAATGGTAACGAAGCTCGGCTCAGTTGTCACGGCCTCGCTGAGACAGTCGGCCGCGTTCTAAGCCGCTCCTGTGACTATCATCCGGCCAATTCGTTCGACGCTGCAACAGGTATTTCACTTGTTTCTAACAGGACGGATTCGTCTCTTGTCAGTGAAACGTGAAGGGGAAGATTAGGAATTTAAAAATTCTTCAAACTGAAAACACGATTCAGTTATTTCCTGAAATATTTCTACCGTTGATAGAGGCTTCTCGCTTTGCTAAATTTTCCTGAATTCATCTTCTCGAGAATTTTTGCAACGAGTTGCCCAAGATTCGAAGTCTGCGAGTTTCTCGGAGCATCGGTGATTTTATCACGTCTTTCCAAAGCTGTTCGAAAACTTTCAGACGACCTCTCGCTCTCGATATCGTTACACATTGAATGATCGATGCTGACCGACGTAATCGCAGATCGTGTGACCACCAGTTGTCTGACCGCGACTGCGTAATTGCGAAATTGATACAAAGATAGGTAAATGATCGATTGGAAAATTACCGACGGCAGCGCAAGCGGAAAAGACTTCCGTATTTTCGTCTGTAAAAACACGACGCCACGTCGGAATCTTTGAGATTACGCTCGGTAAATTTACATACGAATATTGATTAGCCGTGTTTCAAGTGCATGCAAATGCATATCGTTTAACACACAGAAATTTCCCGAACAGAGGTTGATCTTTTGCGATGTTCCTCGCGAGTGAAAATTTGTTCTTGAAACAAATAACAAACCCTTTCTGCTCGACTGATCGAGATAAGAAATATTCAATGAAATTTCTTTTTAATGGACCAAAGTTTCCTACCTATTTTCTTTTTTTTTTTTTTTTTTTTAAATAAAACATCAAAATACAAGAAAAAACTAATTTTATTAATTTTAAATTAGATTAAACAAGAAAATTTAATTAAATTAAGAGAATTTAATTAAATAAGAAAAAACTAACTTTATTAATTTTAAATTAAATTCAAGTACAAATTGATTTCTTGATCGCGTTTTAAAAATTATTCCTTGCCGTAAATGTTGGCCGTCAGAGCGTTCGTAAATTAATAAAAAATTACGGATTTAGCAGGAAGCGAAGTGAAGTGATTTTACACCAGGAATAATTTGATACAGGCGATGGAAAGTCTTCGCTTCGTTAACTTAAAGACAAGAAGCGAGTTAAGAAAACTGGAGAACGAATCTAATTAAAGAGTATAATGTCTTCATTACGTTTAAATCTCGCCTGAAGCCTCAAAGCCCCTAAAAACCAAGAAACTACCCCAAATGTCAACGTAGTAGAGAAAAAACACTGTTGTACAAAGCGCGGCGCGATCGGTAGTGACCAACCTCGAAACTTAAATTTAGCTGCCTACCATTCACACACAGCTGACGTAAGGAAACTGAAACTAAGTCAAACGCAAACGTACGCGAACAGAGAATGAGAATGATAATAAAGAAAAGAGAAAATACATCGATCGAATAGCAAAAACTGTCACAATTCCGCTGTCCGGACACTTTCTCTCGGTCCAATATCTTTATAATTAGAGGAGTGCAGCGAAAAGGAAATCAGCGAGTCGCTTTTTATGTTTATTCAACGAGTTGCAAAGCAGTGAAACGATCGTCTATTATTGTATCGCGTCGAGAGTTGTTCCGAACGTTTTCGCTTATTTATACGTGGAAACTAGAAGAAAAGAAGATTCTAGAGAAGAGAGAAAATTTGAAAATGTTCATGGAAGAAAAGAAATCACATTACCGAGGTGATCCATCGGTAAAGCGATTGTCGTTCCATGTTGTGGAAATATTTCAAAAGGCAGCCATCAATTCGTTTCGACAGCGACTTTGAAAAGCGATTCGATATATTTCTCTTTTCCTTTATCATTCTCTCTTATATATTCTATCTTTCCCATTTTTGCAAATTACACCTATAAAAGAAAAGAATATTATGTCGTTATCATTTCCGGCGACAGTTATTGCATTACGTTGGATATCTTGATGCGCTGTGCACACTATAAATAGAGTCCACTTTAAACGGCTTTGATCTCATCCAAACGACAATGTTCAACAGTGTTTTTTGAGCACTCGGCGTGGCTGCATTTCATTTATTCGCAACATCGAACGCGAACAGTGCGACCGATTTTGAATAACGACTCAAGCTCAAAAGGAATATTTTCTTTTTTTTTTCCTTTTTCGCAAAATAAAGAGCCTCTTGTATTTCGTCGATCGACTGATCGCAGGTGAGTGAAAAAGTTTTATTTCAATAAGATTTGATAAAAGATGCCACCACTGCACTCGTCATCTAATAACAGATAATTACAGACGTTTTGCACGTTTACTGCGGATGCATCCGTTTTTACAGAAAATTGTTTTTTAATCAATTTGTTTTTCAAAAATAATAATGACAAAAATAAATGCCATTAACTGTGTGCGTTTGTTGTATATATGTATATTTCGTGCGTTCTGCGTGAGATTTTTAACACACGCAAATGCGTTACGTACGTAGAAAAGAGAGAAATTAATCGGGGAGATTTTTGAAAGAAAAGAGTGTGATAAAGTACATAAATTATACCGAAAGTTTCAGTTTTAGCTTAGTTTTAGTCAGCTGATAATTATAACAAAAAAAATCTTCCAGTGTCTGGTATCTAACATTGTTTTACAAAAATTTGAGAGAGCATAAAAAAAGAAATGCGTAACTTGGAACGTCGATCGAGATTTAACAATATCTTTAAATCAAATGGACACCGCGTGATTGTTCCGTTTCTAATAACTTAATCGTTGCCTGTGATGAAGGAATGCTGAATGAAATGTAAGTTGAGAAATGTCGCAACGAATACGAGGGAAATGCAGTTAATACAATGGAAAGTAGATGTATACGATACGCGAGCAAGAAGATTGACTGCTTCCAACTTCATTTGAAATTCTTTTCAAGTGAAAGAATAATTGTATTAAAATTCAAGGTTGAAAATTGTGCCGATGATCGTGCGCAAGACACGTGAAAACGGGCGTCTAAACGATCTTTCTTTCTTTTCTTTTTTTCTTTTTTTTTTTTTCTTTTTTTGAAAAATCAACGTTTGCAGAAAATATGCAAGATAATATCGTTTAATGGAGACTCGTCGTTCGTTTTACGTTACCACGTTTCCTCGGGTTCTACCAGGGATCGAGTTGAAGATTGAATCTGAAACTGCCGCCTGCTGCTACCGATCGCTTTTCTACTTAAGGGAATATATCACCTTGACGACAATACGAACTATTTTTGAACTAAATAGCTCGTTAGTGTTGAAAAAGAAGTAATTATCCAATTGAAATGAATTTTTTATAACGAGCAAAGTGAAAACGATAGCAATGTTTCACGGACACGCACACGTGAAGGAAACAATTATTAGTCGGCAATTTCCAAACTAACAAGACAGAAACGTGTCAAAAGAGAATTTTCATTTCTTTTTTTATTCAGTTTTCTTTTCTATAGACGTACCATGAACTTACGTAAAATCAAGTATAATACAATAACGAGCGTGTTATCTTGCAATTTTGTTCTAAATGGGCTTAAAATTGCAACAATCACTTCTGCCTTCTACTATTTTTACTACGAACTCTAATTTCCTTCGAGCATCTGTTCCCGAGATGCAAAATCGAAATACTTTTGACAACAATTAACGTGACGCGACAGCGAAGAATTTGGAAAGAAGACGTGATAGGATACAAAATAGGGTTTCGATCTTGCGCATTAGGTTAGACAACTATGTATATTATCGTCCCTTAATCTCTTAAAACGAACGCAGCGTCACAAAAATTGTAGTCCAAAAATTATACGTTATTGTCGTACCGTGATAATTTAATTACTATTGGTGAACTAATTTAATTACAACTGGTCGTTGCAACAATAATATCACTATTGTTACTATTATTAATGATAATTAGTACCAAAACTTACTTCAAAAACTATCGTTAATTTAGAAAATCTCAAATATAATGTTACCATTGTTATTACTACCAATGATAATTATAACAGTACTTCAAAAAGCTAGTATCATTAATTCAGAAAAATCTACCAGTGACAGAATCTTGAGTATAATACAGATGATTCCAAGCAACGAGTAAATTAATCGTTCGTTATTTAGGTGGATAAATCAGACATACATAAAACACGATTTCCTTTCTGAATTTCATTTTCTCGTCGAATTTAAGCCGCGAGCGGTTTATCTCGTGGCCCGACGATAATTGATCTCTTAGCACAAGAGCGTAATTACACGGTCTGCCCCGTGGCGTGTCATCGCGTTACGCAACGAATATGCCTCTGAACGCTGACAAAAAAAATTAAAAAAAATGAAAATTCGTTGACAATACAATGAAGACGTGCACGTGCATGACGAATTCAGCCGAGGAACGAGGATTCCCAGTAATTTTGTCCGGATATTCCTTCTAATCGGTACACACTCGCGTGCGAGAACGCCATTTGGGAAGCGTTGCGGAAGTCATTCGAGATAAATATCGCGCTGCCGTCAGTAAATAATTTGTGTCGCGAGCGTTTCGCGTCCGAAAAACACCGGCCCGATGATTATCGCCGTTGTTGCAATTTTCGTCCCGCGGGTATTGCGATGCGCTCGACGTCTCGCGTGTAACGGAAGCCCGTGTCCCGGAAACTCCCGTGGAAAAACTCGGTGGAGATCGGTCGTGAAACGGGGCGTCGATGTTTCACAGCCGCGCTTTAAAGTTAATTCTCGCGTACACGAAACACGGAAGGCGAGGATCTCTTTTGTCACGGTACAAGCAATATGGTAATGAAGAGAACACACACACACACACACACACACACACACACACACACACACACACACACACATACACACACGTGCATAGTTTTCCAGTATTATCGGACGACGAATATTACTGTATTAGTGGATACATTAAATAAATTGAGTAGTACAAACAAATGAGATACAGATATTTATCCATCGTAAAATATGTCAAAGAACAGTAATAAAATATACTCGTGTCCATTACACAACTTCCTCAAACGTCGTTTAATGAGTTAATTAATAGCTTTCAATTGACATATATTGCCTCTCTCTCGGCGAATTCGATAAATGTCAAATGTATTTTACGAGATAGATATGACGACCGAATGCATATCGTGCATTTTTACATATTATCATGAATATAAATCGTATAATTTATGCAAAATGAGCGATACGTGATCGAAACTTTTCAAAGATAACTTCTATTTGCTCTTGAATTAGCAATTTCCAAGAAAAAGTATGCGGCATATTTGCTATCTATTCGTTGCTACGTTCTACCACGGGCAAGCTCAATTGAATTTAATAAGGAAGTTACGCGACGGGGGAACGAGCGAAAAATTTATCAATTGCTTGGAGGCGATAATATTTTTAAATGGAATGAACGAGGATTGATTGAGAGATTATAAATTCAGCAACTAATCATTTATAATTCTGTAACCAGAAATATCCGTATTTTATAAATATCGTCTTAAATGAGATACAATACAATTGATAAAAGATAAATTATGAAACAGACAGGTGGAAGATTAAATGCAAGTGGAAGATTGAAGAGGATAAAGCGACGAACGAGTAAACTAAACATTATTATAAATTAATAACGTGGACATTGAGTCATCAAACGATGATTTGTACAATATTTCAAAGATACGTAACACACTTCAAACATCGGTCCCTGAACTATTTCCAAACACATTTGCTACATCAACGAATTGTTTAATTAACAGCTTAACATAGTCACGATAACATCAGATTTGTTGGCTTACTCCGAATTATACGCAAATATTGAACCTGATAATAACTTCGGAACGCGATGAAGTTTCATCCACCGAGTATTACAACGTAACGAGCTCGAAAATCAATTTTCGTTGGCCTCCTCGGGGATCTGAAGGAATCGCGTTAAAAAAAAAAAAAGAAGTGACTGCAGTTTTCGATACTTTCTACAGTTAAGTCGATGAAAATGCGATGCGTTTAATTCGCATCGGATAGTCACACTCCTTGGTCGTAAAATCGATAATTTATTTCACATATCACAACGAGTTGCAATGGACAACTTGAATGGATGATTGGATAGATGTTGAATTGCATGTTATTTTTATGAACACAATAGAAATCTTGCATCTCCTTCTTCTTTTCCTCACCCTGTCATATTCGTATTCCTTTTAAATATCAATTTTTCAAATTCATTCTTTTAACACAATTCGAAGAACAATAGCCGTTTTTGTTCGAATACGCATTTTTCAATCAATTCCAAAATTAAGTGATTTACTTCATAAAATAGGTAACTTTATCATTATTTTTCTGGCCTTTTGAATTTCAGTCTGCTAACTAGATTGTTCGAATTCGGCATCAAACAAACCTCTATTTGTATAGTACGTAGAAGTTATATCCCGCCAGTATATCCCGTTGTATCCCGCCAATAAGAAATATATAGCGTTTTAAAGTAATTGTTCAGATAATAATAGAGTGGAAAGTTAATTGTACAAATTTCGATAAAACAAAGCACTCAAGCAACTAATAAAATGAAGCAAGTCTTAAATGTTACCTACATAACTGCAATTTGCAAACAGCCATAAATAAAAGAGAAACATTTAAACGTGCAAATATTTTATATTGTCTAAATAAAATTGTGTCATTGCAAATTGTTTATTTATACTTAAGCAGCAAAGACATACGCTTGACGTATTCACTCGTTGTTCATTCTACCTGTATCACGTTAGACAATCTGTAAACAATGTAATTTGCCGCGGAAACACATGCGCATGCATGACAATTCGATGATGCAATTTTTTTCAAAATTACCAACACGCAAAGCCACGCACGTTCGCGCGTTTATCTGTCTCGGGTATCAATAACTCGAACTATAAAGTTGATTTACATTTAATATCCGCATTGATATAATGAACAGCGATTGAATCATCTATTCTTCTCTGAAACTTCTCATGTTATTTGCATTTGTTATTTACTCGCTTGACAAACCGAATCGGTTTTAAAATTTAATGACAATACAACACGTACAGTCCTTACGCGTAATCGCTAAATCGCGAATGTTTACGCTAAAAGAAAAATATTACTGATAAGAGTGTTATCATTTCTGCTCGGCTGGCTTTGGCCGTCTCCATTTTCTATGAAATATTACAACTTGGGATATTTACTCCAATAAACTTGCTTGTTCTACTTGACAAATAAAAACGGAAGCCGTAAAAAAAGAAAGAGTAAGTTATCATAAAACAGCTATCACCCATTACAGCGTGGAGTCATTAAAAATTACGTAGTAACTTCTGAGTGTAAGACGTCGCAAGTGATCGCAAAACAGATGACTAATGTGATGCAGTATTGTATGTATAAATAGTTCTACGACAATGGTTTTGTGAGTAACGTACTCCCGATATGACGAGATAAGTCAAGGCTTAAGGAAGCTTCAACGTTGCAAAGATAAAATCTTGCGAGTTTTCGATAAAATAGTAACACCTTCGCCGACAGAAGAGAAACATTACCATTGCACTGAACGGCAGGTCGTACTTCTTAAGTTATATGTATGTGTGTCCTTATCTATGCTTTAAAGAATATCGATTGAATAGCGATAGATTATGCACGATCTCGTTATAGAAATTTTTGTGAATTTTCAGAGAGACAATGTCGCCGTCGGTCGAACCGTTGCCAATTCAGAAATTGGACACACTCTTAGCGCAAGCTCTTGGTAATGATCTTCGAATAAAGCACCTCGAATGGAAACCTCTAACCGCGCCGGGGGAAAATTTTGGAAGCGTCATGCTGGCCATCACTGTCACTCTAACGCGACCAAGCAACAAAACGGTGACTCTGACTCTAGTGGCGAAACTTCCACCTACTTCCGCCTATTTATTGGACTTGTTCAACAGTCCAGTGACGTTCAAGAAGGAGCTACACTTCTACGACATGATGGCAAAGGAGTTCATTAATCTTCAGATAGAAAATGGTCTGAGCGAGAAGGACCTAAACAGCCTCGTGCCAAAGTTCATTGCAGGGAGGATAGGCTTGAAAAATCCAAGAGAATTTGACGAACAGGCAGTCATCATTTTGGAGAACCTGAAATTCAGTGGCTACAACACGGAGGATCGAATTTTTGGATTGGACAGGAAGCACACGGAATTTGCAATCGATAACCTGGCCAAGCTACACGCTCTCACCATTGCATTGAGAATGAAGAAACCTCAATTGTACGAAAGAATAGCAGCGGAGGTGTTGGTGGAGATTTCAAACGAGACGACAGAAAAATGTGTGAACGACATGGTGAAGAAAACTCAATCGAACTTTGAGAGTATAGAGGAAATAAAACCGTATTTGGATCGAATTAACAGGACCATAGAGCGCAATGACCAAGCGAAGAATAATCCTGAAAAACTCGAAGAACCATGGCCGACATTGATTCACAACGACTTCTGGGTGAACAACATGATGTTTCGACACAATGAGAAAGGAGAACCAGTCGATATGAAGATAGTAGACTTTCAATTGTGTTTACGTGATTACGGTATGAAAGATCTCATCTTCTTTCTCATATCAAGCGCAAATAAAGAGATTTTGGACAACAATTTAGACGATATGTTCGAGTTGTATTATTCCTGTTTCATTAAAATGTTAAAGAAGTTGAATGTGGACACGGAAAGATTTTCAAAGCAGAAGTTCGACGAAATTCTCAATCGCTGTGGGCCTGAAAAATTCTCTCAATGCGTCATGATGGTCCAAGTAATTCAAGCGCCTAAAAGAAATTCCTCAGAGTCGAAAAGTATGGAAGGCAGCGACGTTTTCGTAAATATATCTGACGATGAAATATATAGGCAAAAATTGACGCACATTGTGACTCTATTTGATAAAAGAGGTTGGCTGCTAAAATAATATTATCGCCGTAGTATTTTATCTTATTAAATATTCAATAGTAGAAGTTTTCATGGAAGTCACAAAGTACAAAATATTTTGTTGAATGAATGTTATATACATGAATGTTAATATATGATGCAATGTTAGAATTTGTGTAAGATACTTTTATACAAAAGTGTATATAAATTGTTACGTTAAAAAAGTTAGAGATTTGTAGAGTATGAGAATTTAATGTCAAAGAAACACCAAATACGTTCTTATGAGAACCTTATATTGTTAGGCTTTAAAATACAAGTACATAGTTGTTTAAAAGTCAAATTCGAACATAGCACGGGTATTCATTCTATAATTTTAGACACTTGCCTCACGTTGCTTTGTACATATACTTGTTTTTCGAAATAAAGAGTCTATTTTATTATATAAACACAATTTCATATTTATTTTCTACTGAACCTGAATAGTGACAGTTATGTAAAATTCCTGATTTATGTTCCTAAGACAATTCACAGTATAATGAAATATATGTAAATCAAGAAGGGTCCTATTTCGTTTCGACATACGCCCATAGATATCCGATGTAATGGCACGTATTTTATGTAACATGACATTGAAATGCATCAATCACAACTATTTATTCCCAATCGGGCCTAATCAATCGAGTTAACTATGTTGGAACACTAAATAGTCAATTACAATAACAATCAGCTTCTTGATTGCACGAAAACATTAATTGACTTGTATTTACATGAATCACGTTTGTTAATAAAACTGAGAAAAATAAAAACAGCAAACAGTAATTCAGAATATCCACGTTGATAGTTTAAAGAATGAAAAATGATAAAAGCAGCAAATAATAACTGCAGATGTATTTGTTATTATGAATACAAAGTTTGAATAATGTTTGGCAATAATATGTGCCAAATGCTTGCCATATGTAATATGAAGTGTACATACATTTTTATGTTTCTCAGAATACTTTATCGAAGTAAGTTGTTTTTAAACAAATAACGCTATTAAAAATAAAAAAAAAAAGTACTCACTTCCAGCAGATCCGCCACCGTATCAGGTAAGTTGAACTCTCTCACAACACGTAGTCGCACTTGCCTATTAATTTCGTGTCGCGATGAGAGCGGCAAACTGATAGCTCTCTGACAACTAGGAGACTGCCTCAATTTCTGCTCTCGCTTCATCATAGCTGCCAAGGTCGCGGAATCTGGAACTTAAATAGAACGCATACCAAATACCCAATCTTTTTCTGGAAGAGTAAATTTCTTCATATCTTGTGAAAACGCAATAAAACTATAAAACAGCCTGATAAGGAAATAACGATCAAAATACCTGGAAACGCTGCAGCTAAAACATCCACGCCGGCTGTACCTATTGGTCTTGGTTTCTCATCAACCATGTACAAGGCATCGGGAATATCGGCCACATATCGTGGCCTTCGTAATCTCACTAAATCTGCTTCTTGGACCATTTGTTCCTCAACTAAAGACTATAAAGAAATTCAGTCAACATTAGAAAATATCAGCATGGACCAATTTTGTTATACCATGATAATTATTAGATAGTAACAGAAAATTAATTAGAAGAAATATTTCTGTTTTCATTCGTGTTATAATACTTCCAAATTAACAATTTTATTCACAACTAATTATCTCGACGTGAAAATTAATACAATTCTTAATGAACTTAAATGATAAGATTAGCAAACAATATCGTCATTTTCATCGTAACTGATCTTGCACAATATGAACGAGTTTGAGTTTATTATTTAATTATTACTTTTGACAATGAAATTAATTTTCATGCGGAGTTTATTTGTTTTTTTCTTTTTCTTTGCAACTTACACTTACCTTTATTTCTTCGTAATAAGGCATAAACAGGCGTGGCCTTACAAAAAATCCATTTTTCTTCCCTCCCCTTATCCATGCATTCATCCGTAAATTTTCCCTCTCATCCCCTATCATATGACTCGGTGGAGTTGAAACTAATCCTCTTCTAATAGCCTAAATATGTAAAAGTTTCATTGAGTACCATACGAGGATAGATATCTATAATAATTGAACGAATTTAATGTCCCGTACCTGAGCCAGCGCTTCACTATTTGGAGGTAATATGTGATCCATTCTGACAAGTGGTAAAAGTTCGCTAAGTATCTCTCGTAACTCTATGTCGCTTAGATCCCTCTTCTTCAACCCCTTTCTTGTCACGGAGTGCACCGTATGACTGAGCAAATTTGGTTCCCGATCTTCCATACGACGCACCAATTCTTGTTCCCCCCACTTGAGTACCGCCTGCAGTATTTCAAGTTCACTCGCTTGCAAGAAATGGCTTTGCAAGACATTCGCTAAATGCGCGTGATCCAGTTGATGGAGAATAGAAGACGAAGCGACTGGCTGGAATTCTTCCCTTAAATAATGTAACGCTTGTCTATGTACCCATGCCGATCCGTGAGGTTGACTGCCCCACCTGTAAAAAACATGATTAGAAATCGGTAAGAACAACGTGCTTCTGAAAAGTGCACTTTAATTAACAAGGCTTTGAATTGTCGGAAACTCACTTCAAAACGGTTGGAAGCGATTCCAATGTAAGGTATTCTAAAATAAGATCTTCACAACCCTGTGATAATATATCTAGCTCCAAAAATCGGCCGATTTGGTACAATTCCATTGCTTCTTCTAAGGGGCTTGGTCGAACACGTCCAGTATGAGTAAGAGCCTGTACCTGAACAAACATATAGACAAAAATAATTTGCAAGTGAATAATAAATCATCTCTTCTGAAATTAATTAATAAATAATAATTAATAAATAGTGCAACCGCTGCAAAAAAATATATGGGAAATAACATAATTACCTCGCCGAGACTACCAGCGCTGTTCCCGCAACCATTACCTCTCATAATTAACGATAAATCAACTGTATCTAAATACACTGCATGTAACAATACTCTGGCATATCGTTTCGGTATTACACTCTCATCCAAAACTATTCTAGTGGGTATATGAAGCGCTCTTTCTGTGTGATCTTCCCCAGATCTAGTCCGTCTTTGTATTAAGTTCCTGAAGAACGGAGATCTCGCAGAAAGTATCGCTTTATGACATGGCAGTTCTAACTTTGGCCGGAATCCATATTCTGAACTTCCACTATCTGGTCTCTGGTAATCACTGTCCGATGTGAACACTAACGCGGCGTCCGCGTAATCACCGGTATCCAACAGATATCTGAGATCGTGTTCCAGCGGATTTGGCGTGCCGAATTCTTCGCTCAGTCGCCGCAAAAGATTCGCTTCCAGGGCTGCATCGTGTGGACAAATATCACCAGTGTAGAGATATCGCAATAATGCCGAAAACATTTGTACTTCGAGATTTGGTGTTCTCAGCTCCAAGCATACCCTAGCACCGTATCCTACGATCCAATAAAATTAAAATTAACTTTTCAATGAACGACACAACAATGTCAGGAAATTGAAGAAAGGAAAAAAAAATGAGCTTGTACTTTTCCACGTATTATTTTCGTACGTGTTAAACGATTGTAACGAGAGAAGAGAAATTATATACCCGGACATCCAGCCAGCAAATCCCTAAAGTAGGAACAACGGGCTGACAACAGGGCTCTGTGAACGGGGAAGCACGCTCCTCGGTAGACGAGATCCACATCAGAACAATGTTTATAGTCGTACAACATCGACAAATCCTGTTTGTATGTGGCGGCCGGCGGTCTAGCTAATTCGGCTTGGACATGGAGATCCTTTAATGCAGCCAACGCCTCGTACTCCTCCAGAAGCGCCGTTGCTTCTAAATGGCTCCATGTTGAGACCAAATCTCGGATTATCCTGCCATGGTCGCAGGCCTTTGAAGACCGACGTCTTCGAATAAATTTCTTCCGTAACGTCGCGAACCCCGTCATTTTCTTCTTCTTTTCCCTGCAAATAGACATAAGGCTTTTATCAGTTCCGTAATCGTTGATCCGCGATCAAAGAGCTCGTTAAAATGCTGCTAAAGATACTCGCAGCTGTGCATCGTTAAAGCGTGGTCTCTATAATGTGCAGATCTGGCTGATAAAAGGAAACGAAGCAGTGAATCAGATAACAAGATCCGATGTTAAATGTTTAAATACCTGATAGCAATGCCATGTTGATCAGGTGGATTACCAGAGGATGAAAGTCTAGCTGCTTGGACCGAATCTCCACCTACACTGGTAATGCTTGACGATGCAGAAGCACCCATTCTATGTATCATGTAGGAAGCATCTCCACGCCGTCTTTTCACGAACCAGCAATCCCTTTTATCGGAATTATCAACCTCCTTTGGTCGTCTACGTTGCAATACACACGGTGTCAAAATTCGGAATACATTCATTGCTCACCCAGACAACAGCCTGAAATCATTTGTGCGCCTTTTTACATGCCGTACTCGTGCTTATCGAACGTAATCGTACCACGCTTGAACGTCTTCAAATATTATTTTGTAAATTTGTTCGAACGATTCTCCTCGATGACTAATAGATACTGTTTCGTTTTTATCAGAATATTAACATGTCTTACGCCGTAATAACATTTCCATTGAAAATTTTCTTTTAAATTTATCTTTTTTTTCTTTTTTATTTTTTATCATGAACAAGGAATTTTGACTCGAGCGACATGAAACATATTAAACATTCATTTCACCACGGAAGAATGCTTCGAAGATAAGAGACGAAAATAACATTTGCAAAATCCTTTTATTCGATGTTACTTTTGTTAAAAAGTTGGCAACGTCTGCGATGGACAAATGTTTGTTAAAGTACTACTTTCCGGTCTCATTCTTATCTAATTGCAAGTCCACCCAGACGGGTCGCTTTAAACATTGACCAAATATGCAATTTATACATATCGAATAATGATGTAAAAAAAAAATTTCAAATATTTTATTTTCCTTTCTCTAAAATACGTTTTTCCCTTTCTTTTTGTTCTTTTTGTAAACGCTGTTCACTATCCATATATACAATATTTATGACGGTGCCAAAAATCAACACATATCAAGGTCAATATTTCAAACGAACAGTGCCAGATGCAGTCTCGTTTTCAGTAAACAATTAAAACTTTTACCATGCACAACGATCGATTCTATGTACTACCTGAAAAATTCATTTCATCGAATTTACTGCCTGAAAAATTACTTGAATTATTTCAAATACCTTCGAGTGTATCGTTCAAATTTTATTCGGAATGTTGCTCCAATTTTTTCATTGACAAAAAAAAAAGAAAAAAAAGAAGAAGAAAAAAAGAAAGAGCGTGCAATCACGTGACGAAAAGATTTACGTAAAAATAACGAAAGTTGCTGATCGCATCTTAAACTTTCACTTTCTTAGCCAACATACGATATTTACCTAGAAAGTGCACTGCATTGAATTCGGTAGCGCCTTTTAAATGGACACGCTCAATGCTCGATACTTTTCTCACCCATTTCCGACGAAATTATCGAGGCTTGAAAGGAACAAATTTTTGAAAGTCACATCAGACGCTGTTATGACGCTGTTACAGTCATGTGTATAGTAATCTTACAAGGATTACTTTTATCAAGCTGTTTTGGGAGTTAAAGATTCCTTTTTAAAACTCTCCAATTTACCTTATCTATGCGGAAGCTTGAAAAATAAGCACTAATTTCTATTAAAAGTAACTGCTTGCAGGCAAGTGCAATGAAACGAATACTTTGGATTGGCTTGGTAGCAGAATAGTGATAACACTTATGTATTTGTGACCTCTTTGGACTAGTTTCTTTTATTATATAACGTCACAAGTGCACTAGTGCAATTGCAATCTTTATTTGATAACTTTCATGTGACAAATACGGCTCTATGATGAAAACTGGTTTTCCCAAATACTATACATAGCATCTGAATTCTGCTATATGGTAATCGTGAACATTTATTGACTGTGAGAAATCTTTAAACATAACATTTTAATAAAAACTATAATCATTGTAGAAATTTCTTTATACACATAATTCTTTCCAGATGGTAAAAAAGAAAAAAATAAATTAACCATCCATATTAAACAATAAAGACATTAATAAAGTTACATCTTTAAAAATGAAATTTGTATTCATTATGAACACAACAGATGAAATGCTAATGTTAATAACAACTCTAATCCACTTTGCCCTTTTGAAACTTAAAGTGAATAAATGAAAGAATATAGAATAAAGTTTAGGTTTAATTTTATTTATAATATCATTTATAAATATCTGAATGACCTTTAACATTTAATCTAGTTTATACATAAAGAGCAACAGGAGCAAAACTTATTATCATTATAAAACAATGAATACTTCTTACTGGAGTGTTATAAAAGTTTATAAAACATGATTTGAACTATAATTTAAAACAGAAATGCAAATTTAAATATATTGTTACAGTGAGATTTGGTTTTTATAATATGCATTACTTATTCAGTTTAATATCATTTATATCCTCTTACTAAGCAGTTTTGTTATAAACATACATTCAATACATTCTTGGTTAGCACAAATACAAATTCAAAATATAAGTGGAGCATTTGCAAATATCAAAATGGATCAAAGTATTTCACCTCATATCTACATAAGCATAATTACAAAAAAGCTTATAACATACAATAAAAATGATCTAAAAACAAGTATATCTTTAGATATAGCTCTTTTACATTTAAATATATGCTTCTAATTTTTACATACATATATAAGTGAAAAGGGCAACGAAAATGAGAAACGTGATGAAGCAATAACTACTGATAACTCTACATTATACGTGAATTACTGTAATTATATATGGATTATGATAAAAATACGTATATTGCTTGTACTGCAAAATGAAGATAAAGCATTTGCAATTGAGAGTATAATCAAATTCAATTGCTGTTTTTAAAAAAATATAACGCAAAATGTATTGAAAAATCGCTGACTCGACGAGACAAGGATGGAAGACACTATACGCGAGAAAATCGGAACGCAGAGCATTCAGTAATTCCATTACAAAACAGAGCCAAAAAAAACTTCTACTGACAGCAACGCATCAATAGGTCAATAGTAGTCAGCTGAGCTATGATAGCGATCGCGTTGCGTGTTTAACAAGCGTATGACGTACGCCCTAGCAAGTTCAGTCACCTCCACGATTACGCGAGGGAAAAAATAAGGAGGAATGAAAGAACAAAACAGAAACAGAAGAGAATGAAAAAGGAAAAAGGAACACATATCTAATAACGAACGTGCAGGTATACGTGGTGTATGACGATAATATCGAGATACAATGAGATCAGAAAGCGGGATATAATCGCAGGGTGCGTCGTGAACGTCTACGAAGCACGGAAGTGTCTTGTTACCTGGATATCTCGGGTGCACGCGTTCCATCCATTATTTTCATTCTCGGAGGACTTCCTTGAATTCAAACTGGCACGAGTAATCATCACAAAACGCGACGGCCATGTTTATGCTCGTCAGCTCAGTCTGCATGTAAATAAAACTTAATTGCCGCGCGATATGTATCACTCGTACGTTGCATTTCTGCATCAACGGAATCTATGGGGGGTGGTTTACGAGGAACGGGTATTTAGACACGTTAGGTAAATAGAGCCATGCAGACGACGACGCGTTATCGAGAACACGGAGGTACGTCTGGTCGCACGAAAACAAACCTCGACGGTAATCATTGCTAACTGTAGCAGGCTCGACAATAGGCGAAACGAAAATAACGCGTAATGTTAAAAATAACGTGTGAAATAGTATTGTTTACGTTCGCGACGCTTTCACAGATAACAGTATCGTTCAAGGCATACACACAGCGGAGGAATTTTTCTTTTGACACAGAAAGATTTATATTACATCTGATCATGCGCGAATACACAATTCCGCGATCAAGCGCTTCGTGACCGAATCCTGACAGGGCCGGGGCGTTCGTGAGGTTAGGTTTACTGATCGGCGGCAGTGGCGATTATTTCTTCGATTTATTATCGAAGAGCCAACGCGTTTTGTTTTCGTTCAAGCGAATTCCATGATCGGAACGGTTGTCACGAACTGTTACCCTGCGTTTCCATGGAACTAATGAACTCTTTACCCTAAAGGTGGAGCCACAATGAAGGCGACTGCGGCGCCATCTCTGAAAAGTGCGTGGTTGGAACTAAATACGTTTCAAGCGCAGAAGAATGGTTTGGCAAGGCTAGTAACAAATCTTGAGTAAATCGTGCACGATCGAGTGTTGGGAAAAAAGCGGGAGAGAAAGTGAGAGGTTTGCATGTTGTGTTGTTCAACTTTGACGTGGGTGCCGAGCGTGATTTCGATTTCAAAAGCAAACATCTGTTTGTAAAATGCAGTAAGTTTTTTTGAGACATTTCTCGTCGCATTATCGTCGGTGTACAATCATGACGTTTTCCTACATTATATACATAATTCGTTTCCAATTTTACAATACGCTGCTATTTCGACGAGAACATCTAACTTCGTAATTATCGATTTTGGCAAAATCAATTGGCAATCAATGCAACTACCAGTCGCAATTTGCAAACACATTCTCGCTTATACGTCACGAACGCTTCACTCGCGTGTAATTTTGTTTTCGTTTTCGTTGCATCAAGCAATATTGCATATATACATACATACATGTATGTACAGCTGTTACAGCGTCATAGTGTGGATTCATTGATTTGGCGCGCTTGAATATTTATACAATATATTTTAAACTCGCTGCCAAACCTTGAAATCACAAATGTGAATACAAATGTGGATTAACACGTGCTTCGAGAAACATTATTTGTATAAAATTAGTTTTGTAATGAAAATATATCATTTACATAATTATATGACTTTATTTTACAAATAAAATAAATACAAATCTACGTATAACATAATTTATACGTAATGTTTACTTGCAGAATGTAGATTAAACAATTATTGACTAATACTGTTCTATATGTTGGTCAATATGTATTGTGTATAGGTATGTGATGTATAAAATTATTTTAGCAAAGAAATAAATTGTATCTACTGTTTTCTAATTAATAATTACTGTCTAGTTGTTGCCTGATTAATAATTATTTGTGTATTTTAAGTATTATTGAGGATTGAAACGATTTAAAAAAAAAAAAACTTTAACTTTTTCACTGAAAAAAACACTGACTCAAACAATTTTAAAATAATCGTAATAATCTTGAAATAATTATGAGTTATGAATGAAAAAGATTTTGAATCACACCAGGTTCGATTTTGATTTCACAAAAGCGATAGTACATCGGATTTACATCGATTTTATATAGAAATGAATATATCAGTCCTATCGCTTCATTTCAGAACAATGTCTCGTTGTCTGAATCGAAAATCGATATGTTTATGTCTGTATAAGTATCTTATACAAACATAAACAAATGAAGAATGGTTAGGACTTGAAATTTAAGACCAAAGGGCACAAGTTTCAATCGTTTTCATTAGTGACTAATATGTTAAATATGTTTTATTATACGTTTACATTAGATAGATAATAGAATTGTAAAAAAACAACAAACGACAATTAAAATGTTTCTCTATTAAAATAATTTTTATTATCTTCATGTGGCAAATTAAATTAAGCACAATTTTATAATAGACAATGTGAATGAATAATATATATGAACACCGATTGCTGTAATATTGTACTTTATACATAAAATATATGTGATTCAAGATATGATGCAATATCATGTGATGCAATTTATAATTTATGAATTGGTAACTAGATTTCATTTAGACATTTTGTTGGCCACAATAACAGAAGAATGTTATAATTATGAAGCTTTCAAAATAATTTTATATATAACATATATAAAACAATTTATTTTGTTTTCAAATATTAAATATAATTGTTAATTATTGATTAAAAAATATTGTCTTGAAGTATATTTTATGATAATTATCAATTTTTATTTACAGATATGGACTCGTTCTTGGAATTGTTTAATTCAGATAATAACAAAGCTACTAGGAGAGATACTTGGAATGATTCAGAAAATGAAGGTAATCGAATGTCAGACTATGAAAACTCAAGTATCGATGATGATCAAGAAGAAAGGCTACCACCAGAACCCGAACAGGGTAACATTGAATACAAATTAAAATTAATAAATCCGTCTAGTCAAAGATTTGAACACCTTGTAACACAAATGAAATGGCGTCTCAGAGAAGGCCATGGAGAAGCTATTTATCAAATTGGTATGAAATTATAATTAATCATAAACTATAATTATTTTTAATGATTACATTATTTATCAAATCACTGTTGAATTATTAGGCGTGGAAGACAATGGGAAATTAACAGGCTTAACAAGAGAAGATATGAAAGCATCATTGAAAACTTTAAATGATATGGCTGCTAGATTAGGCGCGACGACAAGTGTACTACGTGAACGACACGCTAATTCTAAAAACAAAGATATGACCGCGTGTCACAATAGAGAGGAAAGACAAGTAGCAGAAGTTTTAGTGAAAAAATTAAGAAAAGGTGATAGAGAGGATCAGGACATTGTTGATTTGAGACTTGCAGTCACTGGTGCACAGGATGCTGGAAAATCAACTCTCTTAGGTGAGAGGATTAGCAGAGGACATTTAAGGTAGAGAAATATACTTAGAGTTTACTCTGCTAAATTTGTTGCTCGTCTAGTTTATAAAATTTCAATTGAAATGTAAATTTTAATGTATCTGAAATGTATGTAGGAGTATTAACCCAGGGCGAACTAGATAACGGTAGAGGGAGAGCAAGGTTGAATATGTTACGACATCTTCATGAGATAAAAACAGGTCGTACATCGTCGATATCGCATGAAATTATAGGCTTTGATAACGAGGGACATGTTCTAAATTATGCGGAAATGGCAACCGCAGAAGAAATATGTGAACATGCATCAAAAGTTGTTACATTTATAGATCTAGCCGGCCATCGTAAATATTTAAGGACTACGGTACTTGGTCTCACAGGTACAGTAACTCGATTTACCTTACTAAATCGTCAAGTTTACTTACCAAAACGATTTATATTCTCAGGATATTCACCTCATCACGTAATGTTAGTCGTAGCACCGCCTATGAATGAAGCATCGCAAGAACATATGGCATTGTGTCTTACATTAGGACTTCCATTTTTTATAGTTGTAAACAAAATTGATCTCGGTTTTTACAGTATACCTGAAACAATAAATCAGTTAGAAAACGCTATTAAAGCACAGGGATATTCTAAACAATTAATAATGTGTAATAAAAATCAAATGTCATGGGATTATGAATCAGATATAATACCAGTTTTCAATGTAAGTTGCGTTACTGGAGAAGGTTTAGAAGATTTGACAAATTTCATCAAGAATTTATCACCATATGACGTAAACTCTACAGATTCAGATTCTGAATCATGTTTGTTTCAAATTGATGAAACTTTCAGGTACATACTTTTCCCTAAAAATGTAATTGAAAGATCATTATAGTAATCGTATAAAGCCAAGATTTTTTTTTTTATTTCGTATAGAGTAGCAGGGTTGAATGAACCTGTTTTAGGAGGATTGCTTGTGAAAGGAGCAATTGCTCCTGGAACTCGATTATTGGTAGGCCCTTTACCAGATGGCGAATTCAGTCCCGTTAAAGTTGTTAGTTTACATCGAAACAAAGCTCCATGTTGTTTAGTAAGAGCATCGCAGAGCGCTAGTCTAACATTAGCACCACCAACAAATCGAAGTCCTCCTTTGCCTCATCTACGACCTGGAATGGTTTTAATATCGTTATGGGATCAACCTCATGCGACACTTTTTTTCCAAGTATGTTTAACATAATGATATCTGATATAAAATATATATAGAATTTAAATGAATTACTAATAAATATTTTATAGGCTACTGTATTAATAGTATACCACGCAACGGCAATATACTCTGGTTTTCAAACAACCGTACATGTGGGAAATGTAAGACAAACATGTATCATTAAAGGAATAATGGATGCAAAAGACAGAGGTTTGCAAACAAACGATACGGCATCTGTGTTGTTTAGATTTGTTAATCATCCAGAATATTTACATGTCGGTATGCGACTACTATTGCGAGAAGGTCGTACAAAAGGAATTGGTAAAATAACACAGATATTTCCACTATTAGATCAGCAAAACAGTATGCAATAAATTAAATAAAAGTATTACAATATATAATATCTTCACGAAGATAATAAAAAATTTAGTTACTTAAATATTAGATATAATTACGTCATGCACTTAGTATTTTAAAAATACCGGTATTTGTTGTAAAATATGTCAGATTTCGAATAATTTAGTTCTCCGTATTCTTAAAATGAAATTTTTTTTTATCTGAAAAAAAGTAAAGATCAGTTGATTTCTAGAATATTTTTTTTCGTGTTAAAAAAAATATATTATTTAAAATTTAATAACAAACGAAGCAATACAGAGTAATAGTAAATGTAAATTATCTGTTAAGAATGTTCAGACACAAACAGAAGTAAGTTTTCTTATAAAAAAGAGTGAAAGAAAGAAAGAGATTTTAGAATCATAAAATTTCATTTACTTTAAATTAAATTATAGTATTATAATATTTATGAAGTTACTGACAATTATCCTTTTTTTCGTGTTACGAAATAAAAGATCCTTTTAACTCTTTAGTGTCATCTTTTTGTGTGTGACGAAAGTTTAAAAATTCGTTGTGAGAACAATCATTATAATAATGCAATGTTTCTCTATCTTGACTACGTATCTATTTATTCTGCTACTAAAAAACAAAAGATTATATTTAACTGCAGAATAGATATCTTCGTAATTGATTATTGTCATGATAAGTATCGAGTGCATTAGGATTAAAAAAAAAAAATTATGTTATATCTCATGTATACAAAGTTTTGTGTGTCAAAGAATGTTACTTAAGACGGTTGTATTTATATATGTGTCGAAATTGCAAATGATTTTTGCAAGATTGCGTAAGGCTACATATCTTGTGAAACACATGTTAAAACGTTGTGTTATGCAAATTATTATGCAACCGTCCGAAAAAGAAAGATTTTGTTTTACGTTAAATCTCAAATGTAACATTGTATTATAAACTGTAAAATATTTTGAATAAAACAGAAAAATTTACACATCTGTCTAAGCGAATTTAAAATAATGAAATTATATTTTTACATTATCCAGAAATAAGTAGATCAGAGAAAGCAATAGCTGACATGTATTATATATAAAAAAGGAAATATTTATTTATTGCGATTACAATTTTTCAATAATTTAATCCTACACTATCAGCATGCAACTTACTGTAATGTCAAATCACACTTGGAAATAAAATAATATTAAATTCTAGGAAAATACTGTTCCATTAGAAAATACAGATTTAGCATCTATATATATATCTCTTGATTATTTTTATAATTACACGTACAGTAACAATCTATAAAGGTGGATTCAGCAAGAGAATTGTATAAATAAATAGCATGTGAATATCAACTTGTCACATGGAAAGGAAAAAGTGCGTCCTTCGGCTCAGTTTGTTTCTTTTATCGATCCATCAAACTCATTCGAGAATGATACCCGCATGATTCAGCAGTATTCATAAAGAAACGCGAGCACGGTTATTATTACGAGGATAAGCTATGATAAATAATATAAATTGGAAGGAAAAAAGAAGCTAGTGTAATTGTTCAATATAATCACTGTCTTCGGCAATTGTCTTCGTCACAAATCTGAAGAAAACTTATGTTTCAGATTACGTGAGCGGGTAGTTTGGAGTTGGAACGTTTAACGTGCCCCAGAAGAGCACAAGTCTCGATGGATCATGTCTGATAAAGAAGATGAAGGGTCGTCTTGCTATGAATTTTTTCTGACTTCCATCACGCTCCAATACAACAGAAGTAACGGCTGCGGCCTCGGTACCCTTTTCCGTGATGTCGATTTCTACTTTCTGAAGGACATCTGCAGCAAAGAGATGCGGATTTACCAGATTGGCACTATTTCTAAGATTATCCAATCCGTATGACGGAAAATTCTGTTGTCTCATGAGGTTTAAGAAATTCTGATCCATTGGCCTGCTCTGTCTTTTGCTTCTTGCTTGTCTCTTCCCTTGGAAACGATACTTGTTTTCTTCAAGATTTACAATTTTCGTGTTATCGTGATTTCCCTCAGATTTGTCATCCATCGTGTACGAATTTCTCTCCTGTTTACCCTTGGCGTTATGGGTGTCACGAATCTTTCTAAGGTTAAATCCATTCGCCCATTGATCCACTGCGTAATTACGAGCTTTATCTTCGTACATGAAGTAATTTCGTTTTACCATACGGCCTTCGTTAATATCGAAACGAGGAGGAAAATACACTATGTCCTTGTATGACTGTGGATTTCGCGTGACCATTTTGTTGCCATTTGCAACAGACTGTGGTTGCATGGCTGGTCTTGCCAATGATCCTGACGATCCCATGTTCATGGGATTTTTATTATCTATGTTGTTTATATTTGGTTGAGATATGAGACTCAAATCTGCTGTTGCTGGGTCAAATAAAGACTCGAGACCCAGCGCAGCGAGCGTTCTTTTTAAACTTAGACTGCTGCTTAGCTTCATTCGTGGGAAAGCGATGATACAAGTTTCGTTCTTCGTATTCTTAATCAAATTCTCGATTATGTCGACTGTTAGTTTGTTTTCGAATTCCCGAAGTGCTTTCGCACCCTCTTCTGTTGGAAGTAGAACGTACATTGACACCTGAAAACGAATAATGGAACAATTTGATAAAATGTAATAGAAATTTCTAGAGGATTGGGGAAATGGAGAACAATTTAAAACCTTGCATTTAATGTGAAGTTTTTAAACACTTACTTCACGACCCTTGTATGGCAGACCAAGAATTTTCACGCCCAATTGCTTGTCTTCGTAAAACGGAAATGTTCCTCCATTATACATCATGTCGACATCAATTGCTTTGTTTGGTTCAATGAAAAATTGTCTCCTGAATAAAAACAATGCGTTACTGTAGTTGCAACTTAAATTTTCGCAAACTTTCTATCCTGATTTAAAAATCTTGATCTTGATGGTACCTTTTCGTAGCTCCATCTATAAAGTATTGGTTCCATTCTCCTTTAAAGTAAAGCGCTGATAAAAGAATCAACGTGGTCTCTGGTCCCGGCGGATGACCAAGGATATTCGAAATTTTCCCCATCGTCTTTTGCTGCACCCACGTGTTTATTAAATCCTGTGTTGCCTTACTATTTCTAGCAAAATCTACGTTAAACACCTCAGTCTGATAAATTCCTTCACTAAGAGCCTTGAATTGCTGCAGTATTGGATACCCATCCTAAATCATAACCGTTCAAATTACAGATTTTAATAAAATTCAATTTCCCTTTCGATTGTCTTTTTTAAATGCAATTCGCTCGTGAAACAAAATTCTACCTGCACGTATATCGCCGTAGCGAAGTCTAATCGTGGTATCTCGGCATCTCTCTTTCTTTGAAGCTCGCTCGTAAGCATGCCAAACATTTGATGAACAATCTCAGAATTTCGTGAGATGTCAACTCCAGATTCCAATCCAAGGACCTTAGACACTTCATTGAAGGTTCTTCCAGCAGAGCCTGCGAGAACGAGTGCCAATGCTACGGTAAGGCTGACTGGCGAGAAAACTATGTTGTCCTGTTCCTCTATCAAGGATGTGTTTCGAGTTTTATAGATCTCTCGGTCTAGGTCCAGAGTAAATTTCAGTATTCCATTGACGATGATATCGTTTACCTGTAATCGTTCCAGACATGGCTATTATCCATTTTCATTAATAACATATATTTCAAGTACATAAGAAAAAAAACAGTTAAATTTATAACTGATGGCTGCTTATAAGAATGGATGTTTGTTTAAGTGAAAACATTGTTTGATAACAGACTGGATATTTAATTTAAATAAATGTAATTGGAATGTGAATGCGTCATCAGTGGCAACAAGGAGAAACATGGAATCAAAGTTGGATAATGACGCCTTTACTAATGAACTTCCTCTATCTTACAATTAGTGTGTATTGTGCAACGCGCAGAAAACGATTAAATTCAGAAACACTTCAGAAAACCTCGCATAATTCTTACAAACAAAAAAAAAGAAGAAAATGCAAACTTGCAGATTACTGTGTCTCTATGAAGAAATTTTACCCATTTACCAATATCTACCGGCCAACTTGCATCATTGATAGCGTTCTTCATTGCAAAATTTCTCAAGTATATTTCACAATTTAAAAAGTTCTTCATGACTTATATGAGAATAAATCAAGTTGTAATCGCTCGAAACTCTCGTCAACGGGATGTTAAAAGTTAAAAGTTGAAATTCCACTAAATTTGTTCTTAATGCTTTTATATTCATCTTCGATCAAATTTCATCTTTTGAGAATGATTTTGCTAAACATTAATAAATAACTAATCATTGCGAAATCCACAATGCCAACGAAATTTCAAACCGTTTTGTATGAAACGCATCATACATTCATAAAGTTGAAGTGTCACGTTTAAGGACAACAGTCTCGTTTCAACTTTTTCTAAAGCATTGACAGTCTTTTTCCCGATTGAAATTAAAGAGAGAAATATTTTCATGCTTACATGATTCTTCCAGTCTTCCAACGTCTTCTGGGTCGCAGGCTGACTCGCTAGAGCTGCACCAAGAGGTCGTAATCTACTACTACTACTTTGTAGTTGCGAATAGGCAAAATAGTTTGGAGAAACAGTTGTAGCCTGGAGTAATTTATCATCTGGATATATCAGTTGACCAAAGCAAGTAGCTATGAGGCTCAGGATTATAAGTGTAATTGCCATTGCTGCAAGAAGAATAGATAATGGTAATTACATATATTTTTGTGATAAATGTGTAATCATTTTTAGCAAAAATTAGAAGTTAAAATATCACTGAAATTTCGTATTGAACTTAATTTCTGTTTCTTGAATTACATTCGTAAATATATAGATTTCCATGAATATCTGCAGCCTAGTCGTAGCTTTGAAGGATAATCTATCGTTTACAAACTGCCCTATAACGAGAGAAGAGCTGTAACATTTTGAGAAAAACCGGTTTTAGAATTTTATTGTTATTAACCAGTTTAATATACGTTCATATATGTATGTATATAATATATTATATGCGTAATATAATATATTAGATACTCTAGAAGTATTATATTTATATTATATTATTATAAATCACTTTTTTTCTAGTAAAACTTTAAGATTCGATAAAATACATTTGTATTTATCAAACAAGATACCTGTGCTAATATTCCCCAAAAAGTTAACGATTGCTTCACTACCAATTTATTAATTTTAATTTAAAATTAGTTTACAGTCAAATATCACTGATATTCAGAGAAGTTTACTTCAACTTAAAATATTCATCTTTGTTCTTTCTTAAAAAATGGAGAGGGAATGAGAAATATTTGATAAAATTAAGACAAAGAAAAATGAGAATACTCAATAAACTAGATTCTGAATCATAAGTATGTACTCATTCGAAAAACTCGTTTAACATCCACGCGCCTCTCTCTCTCTGCAGCTTATGCAAATAAAATTCATGTGACCACCCAACTTTATTTACCCATTCGTTTAATCCATCTATTTCTGAAAGTGAAATTTAAATTTCAAGATGCAGAGCTTGTTCAGTCTCTGCACATTAAAGTAAGGGAAAAGGATGCTAATTAAAAAACATTATCCTCGACATTATAGTTAGTCAGGAATATTAACTGATAAAAGGAAACTGGACGGTCAGTTTCATTTTTAATTAATCGTATTCCTGTGACGATATGCTGCAATTAATTTGAACGTTATCGTTCCATTGCGGTACAAATAATCGTGCAAATTTCCTATTTTGCATACGTTATCTACATATTCCTACTAATAATCTGTATAAATATCATAAATAAAAATCCGGTTATGATATGTATTATCGATTGATGCAAACTTGCGGTATAAAATAGTTTAATTCATCCAGCGTTGAAAATAGTGCATTGATTCAATTGATTATTGCATTTTTATTATTCTCTTTCTCGAATAAAATCGTCAGAGGTTGTGTAAAAAAAAAAAAAAAAAAAAAAAATAGGATAATCTTCATAAAGGATTCAGTTTAAGTATTGATCTCAGAATTTGCAAGTGTCCTATACAAACATTTACTAACGATACTAATGGCTATGAGATATTTACTGTACTCAGTGTTCAACATTAATCGCAAATTATTATCATCGTTAAGCGACTGTGAAAGCAACGGTAGCAATTTCAGATCCAAACTCGTTGTATCGTTCAACGAGTACGTCGCGTCGTTCTTCCGTTGACACGAAGACAATAAAAGACGCTAATGTGTTCCCTTTGTCACACGCAGGTCGCATTAAGTATCGACCCGTATGAGCTATATCGTGAAAGATTTTTGCTCGCGTCATTGAATTGGAGGCGACAATCTCGTGGACACAGTGGGAAAACCCACATCGAGTGTCATCCTTACTCGGCTGCAAGTTGAATGAGAATGCGCGATGCGGAATAGAAGAGGGCAGAATACATTCAGCATAGAATGCGTAAAAATACATGAACGCGGAGACGCGTTGTAAAATTGTATTAACAGGCAGATAAAAATTGCCTCTGACAGATGATCGTTTCCGGGGAGTCAGGAAAGATAAATGTACTCGACTGTTCGCGAGGCTTTATGTTTCAAAACGTTAAGTTGTTAAAACACGTTTAAATGAGAAAAAATTATATGGTATCAAGCAAAGCTTCATACGTTTAATTTACTTTTTTTTTTTTTTTTTTTTTTTGGAGGGAAAAGAGATGATTTAAAATACTTGATGACCTGTCTATGATTAGTTTATAAATAGAACCAATACGCAAATTTATATGCTATATTATGCTACAAGTATATAAAATATTAACTAATATAATTTCGTACAAGATGAGGTAATGCTTTCTAATATTTTAGAAACTTTCCTTTCAATTAGAATATTTCTTGAAAATTCTACGTTCGAGGTGTGTTGCACGTTGTTTTCGATGCAATTCGTGCAAAATAAGATGACGACTAATTAAAATAATTGAAACAGTAAGAAAAACATCGATTTCTTAAAAAGAGAATGGCTCAACCTTCGATATCAAGTGGCTGCATTCCTGGAAGCAGGTGTCTATCTTAAAATTACGTCGATGATCGAGCTTTATACTCCTTGGAAGTTTGATTTTCCAATTAGATCTCTTTCTCTGTTTTATTACCGTGTATAGTCATGACAAACGCACCCTGACACTCGACTGTAAGTAACTCTACGACTATCTTGAGCTTGACGACTCTCCATAATTATCTATCTTGGTTAAAAATCTCTATTGGAAAGGATTGTTCCTAGTCGTTGTTGAAGAATCAGTCGATAGAATCTAATTGTTATCCTTGATCAAGTATGAAACAATCAAGTGCACTGTACAATTTAACCATCGTAATCAATTATTTATAATTTACGTATTCTCCTATGAAACACGTATGATGTTTTATTACCAGCTATGATTCTTAAATTTTTAATTATATATATCTACTTTCAATGTCAATGTCGACTGAGAAAAAAAACCAAAATGTCGAATTAATTGACTCTACGCTCGTTCTGAAAATTCTTTTATTTTTGTGTCGGACCACACAATTATTTTATTAAATATCCTGACCTAAACGATTAACCTCGATGTAATTAATTAGTCTGAGTTCTAAGTGGCCCAATTATATAATGACAAACTTTATCGACTATTTTTCTTTCGCAATTTTATCTTTTATAACTACACTATTGAGTGTTCGGAATATATGTTTCATATAAGAAGATAAAAAAATTGCGATGTGTGCTACAATAAAGAAATGCTAGAAGGAGCAAGGAACAGTTTCCACTATATGAATATGAATATGAATATGAAAATCGGAATACTGCAAAAAAGCTAAAACGTTATTATTTGTTTCTTCCATATGTAAGACCATGTTTCTATGTCAGCAAAAGCCAACAAACAATTTTATCAAAAATATTTCGCGCATATTTGCAGTAATTGCAAAAACAAAAAATTGAGCTGAAATTCTCACTTTAGAATTTTCCACAGTCAAATTATACTCAATAATTTACCAATCGACAATATTGACAAGTTTCAAATAACAGTTGTACATAGATTATATGTAGATTTCTCTTCGGTCGCTTACTACGCCTGCATTTGTGAAATTTTACTAATAATAATAATTCAATTATGCAAGAGAAACAGAGATTAATACATTACTCTGATGTGGTAAAGATATTTCAATAGAAAGAGCGTATATTTTTTTGATTCATTGCAAGTTAACTCGAAGAACGAACGGTGAGAATAATTGTCGCTTGAGAATAATAAACAACCAAATTGTTTCGAATTGTTTGATGCCCTTGAATTGAAACTTTGAGAGCAAAATAATCGTTGCGCGTTCTGCTACATAAAACTACAATCATCGCTGATACGTTTGCTCCTCTTCAAACTGGTTCTGCAAATACAATATATCTGTATTGGAATTTCATAAATTCTCGGAAACTCCGCGGAATTTGCATTCATCTGACAGAATTCGCGTCGTCTGATTCATATTAAACGTGATGAATTACCATTATTACGGTTACTTCTGTTTACTATCGCCGGTTTATCGCTGACCACTACCACGTCTCTATGTCGTTTCACGACATTATCGTTCAACGCGAAACATTACTTTTTTTTAGTCATTTTCAGTTATATTGTAAAACACACTGAAAAATCTACGGAAAATCTACAGAATTATAGGAACTGAAGAATTGAAAATTGGAGAAATCTAATCTATAATAATCTAGTGAGAGATCATTTGGGGATCCTCCAACACTATCTTGCTAAAAATTACCAAAACCTTCAAAGTATACCTTTAAATTTCAAATTTCCATAAGATTTTTATCATCAATTATCACGATACTTGAGATTTATTAGCGCCCGTTTCTATCTTCAAAATAGACACACGCCGTCGTGTCTACCTCGCTTGATCTCCGCATTCCAATCATGAAAACTCCGACCTTCCTCAACTTCCTCCCGTCGTCATGAACTATACTCTCTTACATACCTTGTCAAATGTCTCTCCTCGAGGTGACGAGTCTTCTTCTCCTGCGGATTCTGTCCGAACGTCGTCTTGTTCTAGTCGATGTCGAAATTGCCAAGGTAGATCGACTTGCTCTTCACCAAGTACCGTCAAGTGTCGTCAGAAAATGGTCACGTGCGTTTTACGAAAAGGGCAAGGTCTTCTCCTGCATGCGTCGTCTCCGCCGGCATGTGAAGAAACGCGATCCTCGACGTGCGAATCGATCAACAGTTACAAGACGACTGACTCGCCGACTGGGTCTCCGTTGTACTATGTTGTATTTACCGGACTCGTCGTCTCTACTGCTTTCCCGTCACGCGACTGCTTGTTGCAGATCGAGTATACAAAAACGATGATGCGCAAGCCTTTTCGCTGAGACACTTTTCTATTTAGATTCGGTCGACTTGTCGAGATTTCAGCTCGAATAACGTTGACTTCCGGCCAATACGTTACGTTTCCAGGCCGTAACCGTTTTGCAGCAAGACTTATATACACTGCATGTTTTGATAGCAACTTGGGGGGGGGGGGGTGAGAGTCAATGATTTTGTATATCTTTTCCTCGGAATCGGGGGTTACGCCGACACATACACAATGTAAATGTAAATAGGCAGATGTAAAAATACGTGGAACAGATTATTTATAGAAATAGAATAGAGTATTTGTTATAAATAAACGTTTAGTTACTTAGTATAAATTTGCGTAAATATTCGCAGTCGAATGATGACTTAAGAATAAATGATGAATGTGGAATGAATTTCTTTCTTTTCATTCATGTTTCGATCTTTGAGAAGAATGATATTATTAATGATAATTAATGAATATAAAGTACTCTTTGTACCCTTTTTCCTTTGAATCTAATAATTTATAAAAGTCGCGTAGACGGTCATTGTTTCACGTAGAAACAATATCATTGTACCGTATTTTACATATGAATATAATTACGTATATCGGTATGTGTATGCATAAGCGACAAATTTTCAAAGCTATGAAAAATATTTTTCCAATTTCAAATTAGTAATAATTTAATTGGTTCATTTGTTCTTCAAAAAGTAAATAATTCACTGAGAAATTGCTTGTCAAAATATAACAGAAGAAGGGATTCTTCAATATTTTCATTGTTATTATTTATCATTATTATTATTCTTATTTTTCACTTATTTAGAAAATTTTTACATTTCTATTATGAAATATAATTAATTAAATCAATCAATACTGACAAGTTTGAAATACAGGTCCCATAAAAAGTCTCCAATCATACAATATAAAGGACGAAAGTTAATAAAAAAAAGTAAAGATAATGGAGAGAAGATAGAGTGTATGTTTTAGTGAAATGAACACTTTTACCATCTAATATATACGTATGTCACGTATCTCAGTGGGATTTCCAACGAAATTTTATATTAAATTATAAACGCCCATAAATTAAGATAGAGTTGTATCTTACTGTTTGGATATAAAAATAATACGTAAACGACCTCAATGATCTTTAGAATAACAATCAATTGAAACCTGTTTTCACATATACATAGTGGATAAACTTTTTAATTTACTTTTCACTAAAAGCTTCTAATATAATCTTATTCTTCATTATTCTAAATATAGTTTACGCTGAATTTTTTATTCAATTTTACATAAGCAATGTAATTTCTGTCTTTCTTTCTTATCTTTCTATATATATATGTATGTAGATGGATTATCACTGAAAAGTAGGTACTATTTGTTTTGATAACTTAAAAAAAATATTAGACGATCCTATGGGTTTTCCCAAGGGTGGGTAATTTACGAGGAGATTCGTTAGAATCGTATTTGTCAATAGTTGCAAATCATTTTCTTGAGAAATAAATTCTTAAAGTGTAGACTCACGCCACCGTAAACTTCTTAAACATTAATTCAACAAAAGAGATATCATCGATCAATAGTGATACACCTTAGTGATGAATGAACTACCTTCTTGGAGAAATAAATTCTGAGACTTTAGTTGATTAGGTTCGGCAGTGACGAGAATAGTGACGCATCGAAATCAAAAAACATAGTTAAATTTTATGCGAAAAGAAATACACATTATATACGAAAAATTTTTATTATTACGTTGCATTACGTTATATTAAAGATAAATAAACTGTGAATAAAAATAAAGTTTAATATTCACTATTGATTTTAAAAAATGTAGGGTAGCTACAAAAGAGCAAATATTATGTCATCAGACCTCTTTTATTAGCAGCAAATAATTGATATGATTGAAGAATTGCGTGACTTGTGTGACGAAAGTTATGTAGTTTTAGATTATAAGATATAATATATAAAGGGTGTCCTAGATTTCAATTGTCAGATATTTTGAAGGTTACTTTGAACAAGAAATGTTACATACACCATGGATTGATCCCTATTTTCTTTCAAGATATATTACTAATAGTTGTCAAATTTGAGCATTATCCCCATATTCATTGAAATGTATGTAATTTTTTTATATGAGGTTGAAATCAGGGATTTATTTAAATGGAAAACCTATTTATACACGTAATAAATTGATAACAAAAATCAGAAAGACTGCTGTTTCCATCAAAAATAGAATCAGTCTAAATTAGTATAAATCAGTATAACAATTAAAAGTTAAATATTCGATTGCTTGTCACTTATGCTTATGTATTTTCCTTTTCACATCTCGAAAACAAAGACGAATCAATCCATATATCATGCATATAATATTTTTTGCTCAAAATGACCTTCCAAACAATGTTGGCCTCCCGAAGTTTGACGGGAGGCCAACTATATTTTAAAAATAGTTCCATAGTTTTTGGAATTCGTCGCAGTACAATGTAAGATACTTAAATGATAAAAATTCTGCAGTATACTCGTGAATTATTAATTTTCGTCACTTATTACTAACAAAATACAACTCACACTGCGTGCTAATAAAATAAGATGTGAATGAAAGTCTCATGGTCAGGTGACTAATTACATATTATCGAGAAAATCGAACGATCGATGATTACGCGGGTCACCGGAACCACGGGAACCACTTATATCTTCAATGATGCATGCCTATTATACAGCGTTACATGGTTTTATCCAGGTATCTCGAATTCAGCCGCAACAATCGATAAAACTTAGATAAGAAATTCGCAGAAAAGATTCTACTGATAATAACTGATCGCCAGGCATATAAATAAAAGATCGATCAGCAGCACGTCTCTCTCTCTCTCTCTCTCTCTCTCTCTCTCTCTCTCTATTCCTCTCAACGTAGCAATATCGATAGTTTTACCGTTACTCATGATGCAAATGATTTTTTTCACTCAATTTTTACTCTCCCTGGTCAGAATTGGTTGCGTTATTCAAATTTTCTTATTCATCTCATTCACTATTCAACTTTGATCCTTTGTTCAATTATTTGCTAGTCATTCGTGCTTACGTTCGTTCTTAGAATAGTTGTTTGTTTCTCATTTTTCTATTATTATTTAACAAAATAATAATTGGATTACTATCCTATTAACATTTGAGATCGAGGGAAATTAATATTTATCTGCTCTTCGATCTTCTAATCTGTGAAATGAATATACCAAATTCCATGTAGCTAATCATTATGACTTTTAAAGAGAAGGGAAGAAATCTCTATTTTGATATTATAATACTCGTAATGATATTCATAAGTATTTAAACTTGTGTGACGATCCGTAGTCTAAGAATACAGTTCCTAAAATATAATTTTCTAACACTCGCGTTTTACGCGAAACTTTACCGTATTTACGATACTAATTTTGAAATTATATGGAATCGGTTTTGATTTAAGAGAAATCTACGTAATGGGAAACAAGTAAAGCTCCTCTTTTCGATGGAAGCTGTCCGATTTTGAGAAAAAGAGGAAGAAGAACATATGAGAAATGGTACATTCTTACGTAAAATATTATGGGCCAATCGAACGTTACAGGAAGTAACAGGAAAGTTGCATTTACATGATAAAAAGTATTCGATGTACGTATGCAAATGTACGTTTGACAAAAATTAGATATAATTTCATTCGTGCCTGAATTTGAAAACAAATACTTGGGAATACCAAGTTTTGTTATTACGACGCTTATGCAGTGAAGATTAATCATCGTTCATAATTGATAAAAATGTTCTATTATCGATACAAGTTTCATTTCTTATTGCCTTATTGTCTCGATCAAACCAGAATATTTTTAAACGACTAGTTTATTTATTCGAGAGAACGATCGTGGATTTCGATCGCAATTTATTCATTAAACGTAGGCTTTTAATTATCGACGAATATCAGTAATACTTACATCGTTGAAACGATCAAAAGAATGTTATTTGAAAGAAGTGAAAAAATTAAAGAAAGTGAATATAAATTTTTGAAAGTTAAATATAAATTTTTTTTATATGCAAAGAGGTGGAATTCTTTCTTTTATTATTATGCATGCACGAAAACGTTTTATAACATATGCTTTGATGAACATCTCTATTATGTATAATTACACTTACTTGCTATTTCTAAGATATGATTTCAATATGATTTTAATACTTTCCGCAATGAACGTTTGAATTAATGCTTGGTTTTCATCGTTTCGTTTTTTCATTTGCCTAATTCTTACTTCATGGATATACCATCTAACCTCAAATCACTGATAAATACATGACAAATATAATCTTAATTTACTTCTAAAATTATTATATTTTTACAAAACTTTTATACGATGAAAATGCCTTTCCCGTTTTCATAGCAACTCGATTTAGCTTTCACTTCATCCTTGTCATAAGCACTTGCCTTCACGTTCGATAGATATATCACAGTAGAATTTATTGATTTATCTTGGCGTGCTGCGATTGGGCTACGTGTTAGCGTCACAACTTTATAGAAGAACGAGCCAATGAACGATCTTCGTTTCTGTGTGTGCACGGAGCCTGTATAGTACGAAACGGAAGCGTTGCCCAGTCGTTCGTTTCCGTCTTCCAAGTGCCTGTCAGCCATTACTGCTCTGCTCGCCGGGTATTGCAGGGTAAGTTCGCCCAGATATTCCTAATTTCTGCCACACGAATATTTTTGTCATTCGGTACAAGAATTATTGCGAAACACATATATACGTTGGTATATTCGTTTTTACTAGGTTTCTCGCATAATCGCTTTTTTGATCGCAGGTATAACTGGTACAACTGACATAGTTTCCGAAAAATCGAAGACCGTTCCTAGGGACCTACTAGCGTGTCAGCCAGATTCTTCTGAACTTTCGCCGACATGTATAACAATACGTATTCCAATCATACCAGGTACGTTGTGTTAAATTGAGCCTCTTAAATGTCCAGTATGGCAATACCATACGATGCGAAATAATGAAACTGGAGAAATCTTTCTTTTTTTTTTTTCTTTTTTTTTTGCAATATCGTGTTCTCCACCATTTTATTCATGGACATTCTTGATCGTAGCTTTTGCCGAATCACCTAATTAGAAGTTGAACTAACGAGTTCACGTCTTACGAGAGCTCATTATTCCGAATTATGGCAGGGCGGAACGTTGCGTACGTTAAAAATGCATATTTATGGAATTAAATGCGTCATAAAAAAAGCAAAATGGCGGTATCATTATCTAATGGAAAGCTACGCACAGTCGTAAAGTCAAAGAATAAAAATTATTTTTGCAAAAATCTGCATTACCTGATACTTTTACGTCAGCTACGTGTTATTGATTTTTTTTACATCAGGCTATTATCTTGTTACATATGATATGTACATACATATGTACATATATATGTGTTCTCTAATATCACTTTGAGAACAGATTTTCATCAAATACAATTTTTAATTTGAAAAATTCAATATTGAATTCAAATATTTAAAATTCAACATATTTTTTTAGAAAATATATCATACTGGATACCACAATTTATTGTTTCATATCAATGTTTTAAGACCCCGTTAATTTTAAATACTCAATATAAATGTTAATATCATAATATCATTTAAAGGTAATAAAAATTAATATAATTAGTTGATTAATTAGTTATAGACCCAGGGGAAGTAGAAATTGTAGCAGTCGTAATGGAGGAGGAACGTACTGGAACAGCCAGCAGCATACACAAAAGGAAAAGTCCCTTAAGAAGCAGGTCCAAAGGAGAATTCCTGGGGATTCATTGAAAAAGCCTATGTGGGATTTGGCCAAGTTACCGGTGATCACAAAAAATTTATATATTCCACATATCAATGTTTTGAAAAGATCAACCGATGATGTTCACAAATATCACATTGGCAAAGAGATCACTGTGAAGGGAAACAATACTCCTTCTCCAATTCAAGCGTTTGAAGAAAGTAATTTCCCAGATTATGTGATGGAAGAGATTAGAAAGCAGGGTTTTGCTGAACCAACAGCAATTCAGGCACAGGGCTGGCCCATTGCACTTAGTGGACGCGACTTAGTTGGAATTGCTCAAACTGGATCTGGAAAAACTCTAGCTGTACGTATTTTAACGTACATTGTACATGTGTTACATCAAATATGTAAATTTTTGATATACAATTATGATTCAATTACATTGCCCATTAAGAAAAAACAGAAAAGTAGTATTTAAGATTTATTGTAACATTGAGTATATTTTACTTTTCATCTAAAGTATTTAAAATTTATAAAAGATATTAAATCAAGATATTAAATTTTTTTATACATGTTGAAAAAAACATGGAGCTTTATCTTTTTGAAAGTTAAAGTACACTTTACATAAAAAATCGAGGCAAAATGTATTTGGTCAAACAAATTGAGCGAATTTTGTTATCGGTATTTTTCAGTATATTTTACCAGCAACGGTACACATTAACAATCAACCACGTTTGAACCGGGGAGACGGACCGATCGTTTTAATACTCGCACCTACAAGAGAGCTAGCTCAGCAAATTCAGACTGTTGCTAGGGAGTTTGGTTCCTCGTCGTGCATTCGTAACACTTGCATTTTCGGTGGTTCCCCGAAAGGGCCTCAAGCTCGTGATCTAGAGCGCGGCGTTGAGATATGTATCGCAACTCCTGGTAGACTAATCGATTTCCTTGAAAAGGGAACCACGAACTTGCGCAGATGCACATACCTCGTATTGGACGAGGCAGATAGAATGTTAGACATGGGATTCGAGCCGCAAATCCGAAAAATCATTGAACAAATTAGACCTGATAGACAGGTGCTAATGTGGTCTGCGACATGGCCAAAAGAAGTGCAGGCACTGGCTGAAGATTTTCTCTCAGATTACATTCAAATTAACATAGGTTCTCTTACATTGGCCGCCAATCACAATATTCGTCAGATCATAGAGATTTGTCAGGAGCACGAGAAAGAGACGAAACTTTCAAGTTTATTGAGACAGATTGGCAAGGACAGAGGAAGCAAGACGATTATTTTCGTTGAAACAAAGAAAAAGGTGGATGATATCACCAAAGCTATTAAACGAGAAGGTTGGCCGGCTATCTCTATTCATGGTGACAAATCGCAACCTGAAAGAGATTATGTATTATCTGAGTTCAGAAATGGGAAAACAATGATTCTTGTTGCTACAGATGTTGCTGCTCGTGGTTTGGACGTTGAAAATGTGAAGTATGTAATTAACTTTGATTACCCGAACAGTTCCGAGGATTATATTCATCGAATAGGAAGAACTGGACGTTGCCAAAGTGCAGGCACAGCATATGCTTATTTTACACCTAACAATGCCAGACAAGCAAAGGAATTAATTTCTGTTTTGAAAGAAGCCGGTCAGGTGATAAATCCGCAACTGGCCGATTTAGCAAACTCGATAAAGTCTGCGTACGGCAAGAGCCGTCAACGTTGGAGTCATTCACGCTCTAACAAGGACAATAGTTCAACTGGTAGCCCAAGGAACAATAGCAGCAGTCCAATTTCAAACAACTGGCAGACTCAACATGTTCAAAATACTCAACATAGTAACGGTAACAGTCAAGAAAGGACTGTTGTACGCCAACAAAATGGATACCAGACCAGTCGTCCGAATAGCTTTCAATCTAATTATCAGCAGCATCAACATCAACAGCAGCAGCAGCAGCAGCAGCAACAACAACAGCAGCAGCAGCAGCAACATCAACATCAACAGCAGCAACATCAGCGGCAATCGAATGCCTATACCAATGGCTGTCAAACTAGCAACAGTTACCAAGCTAGCTATCAGAATGCAAATATACCTAGATATCATGGAAGAACAAGCGGCTTTCAAGGCAATCGTTATCGTCAGAATGCATATAGTACTAATCAAACAGCTGGAGGACAAAATGTATATTCTATGCCACCTCCATTCATGATGCCATCTGCTGGTGGACACACCGATTCAGGAATGCAAAGCCTCGTTAACAACAAGTTTTTCCAGACAAATCGTCCACCACCAAATACCGGCGCCTGCGCATATCAATCGATGGGATACAGCCAGTTCCAAGCTGTACCGCCGTATAGTTATCCTTATCCGCCCACGCCGGTGCAGCAGTAAGGCTTTTCAGACTATAAATCGGTAAGAGTGCAGGTTAAGTAAAAAATCAATTTTTCCTGTTTATATCGGGCCCACTAAATATTTACGATTTATGTAGACGGTTGGGTCTCTTTTGAATATATAAGTAACATAATGTTTCTTCTTTTCTTTGTCATTTATTATCTTTTTCTGGAATGGTGCCGGTTAAAACGTATAAACGAAATAAAAAATTACTTGAGTTTGTTTTAAAGAAAGAACAAAAAAGAGAGAAAGAGAAGCAGTCAAACAAATAGAAAAGAAATAGTCGAATGATTTATTCTTTTGACTGGAGAACAAAAATTTAAATAATACTGTGAAATGTTTCGAAAAAGAAGAGAAAAGAGAAATTGAAAAAGAAAGAAAGAAAGAAAGAATGATTACTTGTCGATAGTCCACAAGGCACATTCCAGTCGAGTTTCTTGAAGTAGCAGTAGTTATTTAGCACCGATGCATTGATATAACCATTACTGGATGTAGAATATGACCAGTAAATGTGTAGGCTTGTAACCATTGGTCATATCCTTAAGAAAAGTAATTAATCTTCTTGCGATAAAACTATATAAACGTCATTTAATGCTTTCCCGAAATGCACGAAACGTATAGAAGGGGGGTGGTTAATGTTTTCATATTTGATAATTTATTTATATTTTGCATATATATGTATATGTATATATATACACACATACATGTATATATATGTATATATACATATATACATAAATACGTGTGTACAGGCAACGCTCTTCAAAATGTAAGGCCTTTTGCATAAAAATTAAGCCGTACATCCGTTTTTACAAAGCGCACGACAAATATTAAAAAAACATCGTGTCCTCTGTTTTGTAATGAGAACCGGATGTTTGTGTCTCTTTGATAATAGGGGAGTGAAATGGTTAAATCTCATCTAAATTAAAGAACTTTGATGAAGGATAAATCCCAGCATAATTATATAGCGTACAAAAGTGAGTACTTTGAGACTATCCTGGTCACCGGTGTCTTTGGAATGAATTCAAAGCGTGAAGCCGGTTAACGGGTAAGAGAAAGGAAAACTTGGGCTTTAGGGGACAACTTAAATTAAGCATGTAGTCACAATGGCTGTGTACCTTGGCGCAAAGTTTGATACCTTATTTTTATAATATATATCGAAAGTAATTTGTTGTTAAACCAACGAATGATTATACGAAGATAAAAAAAAAATAAGAGAAACATTGTTGTTTGATGTTTATGCAATTGGCCACTGAGTGGTCTTGTCCTTGCGCGTCTGTGTACAATGTATAGGTGCACGCGCAGGCTGGCCGCGAATCGAATGAAATTTAGTTGTACCTGTTTTTTAGTTCGCACTCATTGAAATTCTTGCTATTTTTAGGGAACGATTCAGATTATCCGAGAGACATTTTTCTATCGAAACGTTCAATCTGTAAGAAATAATGCGCTGCCGTGAACATATATTTAAAAGAAGGAGGATGAAAAGAAAAAAAAAAAAAAGAATAAGAAACGCGTAACGAAAGTTTTTAACTTATATACGAACTTTAACTTATTTAACTATTAACTTATACGAAAAACTACAAATTCATTCCGTGATGATGAAAACCACGGGAACCGTTTATCGACAGCGCATAGCGATTTTTTGCGGGCCTCCAGATTACTCTGTACACGTCACTACTCGAATAAACGAATAGCGAAGACATTAAAAAAAAAAAATAATACTAATAAAAATAAAAAAAAAAGAGCCAACAGAGAAGAATGCAAGACTCGAAATATACACTCGAGCAAGGACTCGTTTGCGAACGACATTATAATGTGATAATTATACGTAACGCTTTTGTGAAATGGTCTCACAGTTCGTTACTTAATTACGCACAGTAGAAAATGTTGTGAAGCAGTACGGTATGCACAATAGCATTCGAACCGCGCGTCACACGCATACTTCAAGCGGATTTTGCTCGACATAAAAAGGGGTTGAGAGAAAAAAAAAGAACTCTGTCGATTCGTTTCTAAGTTTCCACGTGATATAGTCTTTATATTCTTCTTTCGCTGAGCTGATAGACATCGGATACATTCAAAATGTGTGTGGTGGGGTCGCGAACAGAAGTTAGGCATTCGCGGTATATTGTTGTATTTGCCCTTTTGAACAATTGTAAATGCTTACGCTCCTACTGTGTTGATCTGACTGCAACACGTTGCGTTGTCGGAACAAATAGCGGTATAAATAATAGGAACGCGTATGCTACGAGTATTGGACAATTCTGAATACTCATACATTGCGTACGCCCTCTGTTAAATCATCCCCTGTCGCTTTGAATTTATTTTTCTTCAGATTCTATATCTTTTCGTCGCAGTCGGTGAAAAATGTATTAACATTTCTTTTTTTATTTATTCCTTTAGCGATGATAGCTTCCTCGTAAAGAAGTTAGAGCATATTGTCTGTTGTTCTAGCGCAACTTCGTCTTTTTCAATTCCATTATGTCGTAAGCGATGCATCCTTCGTGCATTTACGAATCACTGAGGCTTTTGGATAAACCTTGTCCTTTTATGAAGATTCGAATATCAGATAAATTGAAATTGGCCATTCTCGTTTTTTCTTTCTAAATCGAAGATCTTGTTGCAATTCCTCTCAGTGTCTTCTGAGTAAGTCCGATCAGGATGGGCATTTGCTCAATCGATTGAGAATCCTTGTCTGTCGAACAGTAGTCTTCTGTAACTTGAATCTGAATCTCGCCTCCATCCTTCGAGGTCAGCAATGTTGTCAACTATTCATCATTTCAACATACAGATTTCAATATACAGATTCTTCCCAAGTGTTTCAGAAAGTCTCAGGATTGCAAACCCTTTAAGCTGTGCTGCGTTTGTTTGCATAAATTGCAATGGGATGAAGGCAAGAGTAAGAATCGATGATCATCGAACATGCATATCTTTTGTACAACCGAATCTCTAACGAATAATCGTAAAAACTTAGGAACTTTTACATTACACTTGGCTCGAAGTGCAAACGAAATGAATACAGAGCAAACACCGAGACCAAAACATTAGGCAGCAAAGGGTTAACACGTTTTACATTTAACAGTGACGCATGACGAACTGTGTGCTTTTGTGTTCCTCCCGAGCAAAACAAATGTTTTTCTTTTTTTTCTGGTTTTTTCTTGTTTTTTTTTTTTTTTTTTTTTTTTTGTTTTTTTTTAACGAAATGCAGCTTGCATTTTGAAAATTGATAGTGGGTGTACGCGTAGCTCTGTGATATGTAAGATGTAGCATATTTATAGATCTACCTATCGTGCATCATGATTAAAATAAGGAACGTATCTTATCAGTTTTATACATGGTATACAAATCATGTGTAAACGACGTGTACTGCGAGAGCTCGCTGTCTATTTAAGAAAAGAGGAACGAAAGTTGTTAGGAAAAAGCGAAAGATCAGTATTTCTTTTATTTCAATCTTTTTGTTTTGCGTTTGCCATGCGAATTCGTGTATTGTCAGGCTAAAGAACGGGGCAAAAGAAATTGGGAGATGAAAACGTGTATTATTTCTGAGCGTTTTTCTGTTCATGAATATCCAAGTCTTTTTTTTTTACTTTTTATTTTCATTTCACTGTGTAGTCTGACAAACTCATCTCCTACGCGAGTATAAACGTGATGATATTTTTCATGTGTTTTTTTTTCCTTCGATTATCGTGAAATTGTTTTCTCTTTTTTTTTTTATAATCGAACCTCGGTAACTCGAATCTCGGTAAGGTGAACAATTTCTTCATTTCCTTCCGTTCCACTGCGAAAACCAAGTAACTCGATCTAATAGGACTAACAGCTCTGCGATCTGCAATTGTTTATATATAGCATAGCAACATTCAACTTTCATTTATCACTCGATAAAACGAAACCATCCATCATCATTCGAAGATTTTCTCCTTAGCCTCGAGTTATCAGGGTTTGATTTTGTTTTGTACGTTTGTTTGTTAGAATATAGTCTTTTAATATTTACGTGTTGTTAATTAAAAGAAACTGTGGAACTTGAGTGATGCTCAGTCTATGAGTATTTTTGTTAATTTTCCTTTTTTTTTTTTTTTTTTTTTTTTTGTACTATTTTTCTTTGTTATCTGCGTCAACGAGCAGTTATAAATTCTATGTTCACTTATATCCGTACTAACTACATATAAGTACAATATTCCAGAGACTAAAACGTGGATGCGTACCTTTCGAGTAGCAGGACATGTGGTATATGTTCAATTCTCTAAAGAGCAAAGTGGAATTATATCGTTTTCTTTCTACTAGTCGACAATTGTTCATCCGTTCGTATTTTGTATTATATAATTCCATTTCGTCTTGTTGTTATAGGAAAACGTCCATCGAATCGTACACTTTTTAAACATATGAACTTCTAAACGAGATCCAGTCATCCTTCGTCGATGAACGGGAGATTCTTGCGGGGAAAATCTTGCTTCTCTTGCGTCGTTACAGAGATGGGAAAAGCGTCAAAGGGAACTTTCGTAGCGTGTTCGATAAACTCTTGCAATATCGATGAACTCGAACAATTTTTGGTCTAGGATATATTTCTAGCGATCCGTGTATATTTTTTTAAGTAAGTTTGCAACGCTGGTAGTAAAAGGTCGAACGATGGGATAGGTGTAGGAGAGAGGGAGAGAGGGTGGATGGGTAGTTTTCGAAGATATCTCTGACACGCCTTCCGTCTGTTATTTAAAAAAAACAAATGGTTCGAAGAAAGAAATATGATCGTGGAATCTTCTTAACGCTTGCATTAAAAAACACTCCGGCCCAGAATCGTGCTAGTCGAACCGATCGAACTTGCAATTTTTCCATTTGTTTGCGTACTAATCTGTCGGTTTTTGTTTCCCCTCGACAAAAAAAAAAAAAAAAGGAAACCCAAGAAATAAAAATAAGGAAAAAAAAAAAGAAAGGGTCAACGAGAGACGGTAATTGGCACGAAGTTCTTCGCGATTTGTCCGAGCCGACGAATGAACAATATGGTGTCGGGTTTTGCGTGCCGGAACGATCGTTGATGACACTAACGCGCATATAGCCTCGGGAACACGAGTACCTTTTTAATGATTAATGCTGAACGCTGTGATATCGCGTACATAAACATTTTTATTATTATGATAAACGTAAATGTGCATATTGTAATGTTAAAAGAAGAAAAAAAAATGAAGAGTACTATTCTCCTTTATATGTGAAGACTGAATCTCGCCAACTTATACACAGGTTTAGCCAGCCGCAGATACGTTCGTATACTGTCTAGACTACAGATAGACTATTTGTACATTATTAATTGTAACAATATGTTTTACGTGGGTAGTGCCGGGACTATTGAGGTGACGCGGTACTATTATGTTATAGTTCGATAACGGGTGCGTGTTCGTATTGTGCATTTTTCTTTCTTCTTTTTTTTTTCTTTTTTTTTCTTTTTTTTTCTGAATCGAGAATCAATCGATCTCTTCGGTGTGTCGCGACAAGAAATTCGCCAGACTTCTCGCGTTCACTTTTCGTAGGTGTTGGAATGGTTGCACGAATCTGGTTTCCTGTTTCCTGTTTTCTTTCTTCCGTATCTGTTTGCAAGTTGTTCGTTTCTCGATCGGAATTGAAGGGAGGAGATTCGATCGGGAAGAGATAGAAAATAAAGAGAAATCGCTTACCTGGTTTCCAACGATCGCTTGCCACGTTTTTCGCTTTTCGATTTATCAATTAGATCGTTCGTGAAATAATAAAAAAAAGGGACATTACAACAACAACAGCAACAACAACAACAGTACAATCCGTTTCATGATAGTTCCTATATTGCATTCTTCTTTGTAACGTGGATGAATTGCAGCTTAAATTTCGCTAAGAGATCAGTCAAACATTATTTTCATACATTTCCTCTGCGTATTTGTTCCGTTTGATTTTTGGAAGAAGAAAAGAAAGGAAGAAAAAAAGATGATATGATACTTGCCAATATGTTATTGGTGTTGTCACATGTGTGCATTGCCAAGTCTGTAATTATTATTTCTGCGGCTTACAGTGTCACGATTGTTGTAATTTTTTTTTTTTAATCATCTTTCGTCAGTTTCTCGAGAAATGTACTAACCTAAAGATCGTCGATCTTTAAAGTATGTTTTTCTTTCGCTGATTTCGAAAGTTTGATTCTTAACATGGAGAAGCAAACATAAAAAATATAAATTTAGGAAAACTAAATTTATGCCACTAACCACATTTATTTATTCATAATATTATTAATGGCTTTCTGTTTTGTTGATGTTGCGAAATATGTGTGGAAATTGTTTATTAACTGTTTCGTTACGAATATCGTTCGTTATAAACGATGATATCGTTTGTTTTCTTTTATTTCATTTTAATTAATTAATGTTAATAAATTTAGTTTCTCTCCTAACGTCGAATGTAGACTTGTTAGTGTATGCATGAATGTCGAACACTGCACACTGCACGACAACAAAATTTACTGTGCAAACTTTTACGAAACTGTGCGATGTAAATGCAGTTTACGAGTCAAATATTTAT